GGAAAAAAGGTTGATGGAGTTAAGTGGCGAGAGTGAAGACGTTGATCGGCGGAGAGAAGGCAGAAAAGAAGGAGATGAAAATGGTAGCTAAACGGAGGAGGAAGGGCATTTTAGACATTTCGTGGAACTCTGGCTTTCTAGGGCTTGGTGTTGTTGTTGTGGCATTCAAAATCTGACATCGAAGGAGAAAAGAGAGAGTGAAGAAGCGTTTGGTTTGGTCGATGAAAAGAGAGAGAGAGAGAGAGAGTGTGATAGAAAAAAGGTTTTTGGTCTTTTTTGTTTAGAGAGAAATATTGGAGGGAATAATAAATAGGTGTCACATTGCTTAAATTAGTTTAGGTCTTGTTATTTGATTTGATTGAGAAATAGTAGTTCGTGTTTTACTTCCCTTATTTATTTCCACGTTTTATTTTTTCCAGTAGCTTAGTAAAGGAAATTCTGTAAATCGAATAATAAATTTGTTCAGAACAAAAATTAAATGAATTGTTGGGTTGGACCAATTGTTAGCGGATAGATCGATTTTCGATGATAATGATTGCTGTAATAATGGCCATCTTTCCCAACAAGATTTCTTCAATTAGAAACAATGAATGTAATCAAGATGTTTAACAATAAAGACGTCATTAGTATCCTTTTCTGTTCATTATAACCTACTCGTATGGTTTAGAGATCTTGATTATGACTTGTTCGCTACCAGAATTAGTTAAACATATATGGTTTCTTCTTCTTCTTTCGATATAAAGAGTTTTTTCCTCTCTTTTTGTTGTTATGTACGTAGAACTTACTTTTAAAGTAGGCTAAAAAATATAGAGAATGTGAAGAAAAGACAACTTAATTTGCTGTCTGCTGATATAGTGAAAAAAATTGGGTTATGAAAATCTTCGGGACTGTACTAAAGAGAGAAGTCAACATTTTCATCAAAACAACCACATTGAATCGGTAATAAATAACAAGATGCATTGAAACAAACAACTTTTTATTATTGAAACAAACAAACAAACTATTAATTTCGATAGTTTGAAGAATATGAGTAAAAAAACAAGAAGAATATGAGTATACATATATTAGTACTTTCAATTATAAAAAAATTGCATTCTAAAATGTTATATATTCAAGAATAGGAGTATACATATATTAGTATTTTATTTTCTTGCCAAACATTATCTACAAATTACCGCTTATAATTTACAGAAAGTTTTCTGTCGGGAAAACTAAAACTAATGTATTGTGTCTTTTTTAAGTGATGTTTATTTCTTCAAATATATGACATGTATATTTTTATTTTGTATGATATGTATTTTTGCATGTGGTTTTAAAATTGTTTGACTTATCAAGTAAGTCTAAGTACGTAACGAACTTGTAATCAAACAACACTGCATTACATTGCATTGCACTTCAAAGAAATTATGGCTCCAATCCGTATACAATACAATTAAATGTCACAGAGCTGTTACATGCTGAGATAATGCAATGGCCAATGGATATATTTGGTCGGCGGTATTAATCTACATTTATTGTCGGTTACTTACTTAATATCCAATTGATAAAAGAACAGCAGCTTTATAGAGAAACCAGTGCATTCTTATTGTTCGACCAAAAAAAAATGAAAAAAAAAAATCTAATTGCTGAATACATTGATTGGAAACATTTGGGCTAATGTTTTAAGATTTGATTTTCTGATGTCCTAGATTCAAATTTTCAAACCGAAGTATATCATAGAATGTGATATAAAATGATGAAGTGATCAGTGTCGTGCCAACATATTTAGTGGCCTAAAACAATTTAGAAAATTATGGCCTTTTATAAGTATATAATTTTTACAAATCATAGAATTTGAAGATAAATCGAACTGTAAAATTTATATCATTGAAATGTAAAAAATTATGTATAAAATAAATATATAAGACATTTTAATGAGTTTATCATTTAAAAATATATTAAAGTACCAAAACTCTATAAAAACATATTAAAATGGTAGAATAACAAAAATATGTAGATGAATAAAATTAAGTTTATTAGATTTATAGTAAAAAAATGACAGATAAAGTATGATTTGAAAGTAAAAATTACTATTACAAGATTTGAACTCGTGAACACAAAGTCTTTTAGAAATTTTATTAACAAATATTTCACTAATTTAACTAATATTGTTATTGATATGTGGCCTAAAAACTAAAATTATAAATATGGCCTAAGGCCAATGCCTTTTTTCTACTAAGGGAGACACGGCTCTGGAAGTGATTGAAAGATTATTATAACTGAAAATATTTAGAATTTGAAAAAAAAAGGTTTATGCATTATATTATTACAAGTAACGAAAAGTGTTGGGATTTGCATCATTTTCCACTTCTCCTCTTTCTTCTTCGGAGTTAAGTTTTACTTCAAATATTTTAGTTTTGAAATTTCACCTCTTATTACATACATTTCCAAATATATAACCAACCACAATTTTTGTGACATATCTGTGTTTATCAGAGGTTGGACCATTCTAGTCCGGTCAATAAAGTTTGATTTTATTTTTAATTGAACCTCTCATCATTCCCTAATTTTTTATGTATTCTTTTGAATGAATAATTAATGACAAATTAAAAGTAGGGGGAAGCAAACATTCCTTCTGTTGAAAAAGGTTCAGTACTTATTAAATTTTATCTATCCTCAGGGTAAAATTTAGTATAAAAAGATTACGCAAGAGAACCAGAAAACGACGTCGTACGCAGGGCAAAAATCGTCGGTGAGAAATAGTACCGAGCAACAAAAACTGAGTACATAAAGAGCGTACAGAGCTACACGACACGACGAGGCAGTTTTTACTGTAAAACCCGTGAATCACGCAAATCCAGGAGGTCGACTGAGTCATCCACTTTGTTTTCCAAATCGACACGTGTCGGTATTCTTCACTCTATGTTACCCCTCTTCTTAACCGGCTATCGCCTGTTCCGGTTTCTCAAGAACACAACCCCACTACACAAAGCTAATTTAATTCCGATGTTACCCTTTCAACTAAGATACACCGTTATCATCAAATATCATGCAACCTAACTGTACAAATGAAATATGATTTATCTCTATCACTATTTATTGTTGATTTCAAATGTGATTTTTTTTGTGTTTGGCATCATTTCGAACATGAGTTTTCAACATTCTGATGAGAACTCTGGAGAGAAAAAAAAAGCTATGATTTACTAAATATTCTGCTTGAATCGATAAAATAAAGTAGGTTGACAACATAGTAATATACTAAAGTATTAACATTTTGAAACTACAGGAGAAAGTAAAAGGAGGTTATTATTATTGTCAGTGATTGAAAGCAATGAGATTTCAAATTTATGAAGTATGTATAAGCAACTTTTGAGGGGTATTTCTGAGAAAATGTACCTTTTAGGGTGAATCGTGTTACAAACGATGTGAAAGGCAAAATCTTTTGCATAGGATTAGATTGTTGTGGAAAAAAAGCAAAAGCAAAACTAAATTTAAAAAGAGAAAAAGTGGCCAAAATATGAAAGCCAATGCCAAGTGCTCCTATATTGCGTCATCTAGATTTTTTCTTTTTCTAGTTTCGTTCCAATAATTCACGAAAGATTACTGTAGTTCTTTTTATGTAAAGTATCCGAGTGGAAGATAGAAAATGTGAGAAATTGAAGAGCCTATAAATATGGGTATCAATGTTTTAAATATGCATATATATTTGGCATTTGTATAAAGTAACATCTGACACACAAAAAAAAAAACAGTATCAAGAGTTCATCACGTACAAGAATCAATTTCGGCTTAGGCCCGTTTATGAAATATATGGGCCGTTTCTTCCACATCAATATTAACATCATCAGACAATCGGTGACGAAGTTATTGCTTTTTTTCTTGACATACCTTCATACAATGCATCAAAATATCACATTCTGTATCCCTTAAGAGTTTTGATTGTGTTGCAGTTGAAGAATTCTACTTTTTCCCCTATCAAGTTTATCTGGTCGAGCATTTTCAATAGCGTGCTTCCAAACTTCGGCTTTGATAGGGCTAGTTAGTTCCTCTCTGTCAAGTTACTTCTCATCTGGCCAGTCTCAAGACCACACACACAATTACTTGGGAAGAATATAAGAAGAAGCAAAAGGTAAAAGCTGCTGATCGATAAATCGTTTATTTTGCTTCTTGAAACTCTCCATAAATTTGGTGTTTTCATGTAAGCAATCATTGATGCGAAGGTGGTTAGGAACATCAATGTCTTCTATTCAAAGCTCTTACCCACAACCATCTTATTCGATAAGCTATCAGTTATTGAAAGTTGAATCTTTTATTGCATATTCACAATAATGGTAAATGATGTTTTGATATCTGCGGTATAGGATAATCTTCAACAGGTTCTTTGCTGTGTTTATGACAGATAAGAAATGTCTCTCACTGTATGACTTAATGTAAACATTTTGTAGAGGTAAAGGTGAGCAATCTTAAAACATGAAAACTATTTCTAAGATGATTTTACGTCTTAATAATTGGAACAAGAAAATGAGGTCAAATTACAAATAAGGTAACAAAAAAAAAAAACAAAACAACTTAAATCAAACATCTCTCACAAGTATACACAAAAGACAAACAATGATTTTCCCTCCTTTTTTAAGAATGTTGTCCAAATCAAACCAAACCTGATCCCATTCTCATCTCCCAAATGCTCTTCTTGAAACTATTGCTGATATTCTGGATTGAAAGCGAGCGCCTCGCGGTAGATAAGCTCCTTCATTTGCTCCTCTGAGAGTGCGTGTTGCTCGAAATCAAAGTTGAAAGGAATCGTGCACTCTGGCTCATCGCTAATGTCGTGCAACGAATTCAGGTATGGATGGGCCAGCGCGTCTAAAACTGAAATCAAGAATCAAGATGATGTGATGACTAACTTATTCAAGAATCAATAAATCCCTCTATTTCCGTGTTTTTTGGAATGATCCGCAAATGAAAGTCCTGTTTCTTTTCAAGTTAAATGGCATTACTGACCTGTGATTCTCCGTCTGGGATCAAATGTTAGCATCTTCTCGATAAGATCTATCGCTAAAGGATGCACCGTTGGGAACTTATCAGTGATGGATTGGCGAGGATACGGTGGAAGTTGTCTTATGTATCGCTTTGCATTTTCGTTCAAGAACTCAAGCTCTTCTTCTGATGGAGTTCCTATGAGCTGCAAAAAGAAAAAGAATTGTCCCAACATGTTTCTTTAATGCACAAGTTCGGGTTTTGTTGGCAAATAGAGAAAATAAAAAGAGGTTACTACTTACCTCCATGAGCAAGCGAAGTTGATGAACATGATCTCGGCCAGGAAAGAGTGGCTTACGGTCCATTAACTCCATGAAAATACAACCAACAGACCAAACATCGATCGCTGCAGTATAATCAGAAGAGTTTAAGAGCAGCTCTGGTGCACGGTACCATCTCGTGACAACATATTCAGTCATGAAATCGCTCTCAGAAGTGACTCTAGCTAGCCCGAAATCACAGATTTTCAAGTCGCAGTTTGCGTTTAGGAGGAGATTGCTCGGTTTCAAATCACGGTGAAGCACATTTGCGGAATGAATGTACTTCAATCCACGGAGGATCTGGTAAAGAAAATACTGCACAAAAGAAAAAGAAAGAAATGAGCTATTCCCCGGTTTTCAAGTCGATATTATAGGAGAAAAACCAATCTTAAACACACAAAACCTGGCAATGTTCTTCGGATAATGCTTGATTTGACCGTATGATTTGATGGAGATCAGTGTCCATTAGCTCATACGCGATGTAAACATCATTGAAAGCGTTTCTTAGAGGTGGCGGTATTATGTCTCTGATTGCAACAATCTGATATACACAGATGGTTATTATCCTTATTAGTTGGAAATGATTTACCCATCATAGATAAAAGATTCAATTTCGTAAAGATAGAACACTTATCTAACGTAGATGGAAAAGATCATACAACTCAACAAGCACTAAACCATCTGATCAAACCTAATGCATGTACTACTGTTGACATTCATGTATATTACTTAAATCTTGAAAGAAGGAAATGTAAAAATGTTCTGAGAATTCAGATTGGCTGCAACACATTCATTCACGAAACTAATTAACATATACAATTAGAATCAAAGTCGAATTTGTGCAAAATCCGACAGCAGTTCATCTAGACAATTTCGGATTGACTAAAATCTATCATCCCATTAGGCTATAAACAGATGAATTTTAGTTATGAATGAAAGAAAAAAACTTACATTTTCATGATCCATGTGGCGAAGAAGCTTGATCTCACGGAGAGTCCTCTTTGCATCAATCTTATTGTCGAAAGCGTTTGCGATTTTCTTAATCGCAACGCTCTCATTAGTTTCAGAGTTCATAGCCGAACTGCAAAAATCAAATAAAACAAGCGCACAAAGGATAAAGCTTTTATAAAAAAAAAAAAAAATCAAAACCAAAACAATCGTATATAGCTAGAACCATCAAATTAGAGCTCGAAATCATAACAAACATCAATATAATCAATCCTTTAGAAATTTCGGATAAAACATCTTTACCAAAACCAATCAACAAAATCATTTCATTTTGCAATTAAAAGCAAAAGCCAAATCAATTACACGCTAAACAAGAATCGGAGAATTTACCAAACGATGCCATAAGCACCCTTGCCAATAGGCATGATCGGAGGCTTATACTTAGCGGTGACCTCGAAGATGTTCCCGAATATGTTATACTGGATAAACCTACCGCCGTGGCTAAGAGTCGCCGGAATATTCTCAATCCCCGGGATCTGAGGCGACGGGTGAGATGGAGCTGCGGCGGAAGCACCGCCGGTAGCTTCTGTCATCTCGGTATCAGCTGCCGGTTGACCCGCGCCACCGTCCATGACCGCCGGAGAAGAAAGAGGAAACTTTGGGTTGGTGTGGATCGGAAGAACTAATGAGGGAAATGGAAAATCGTTATAATTGGGTGAGTGAATGAATGAAGAGAAGAAATTGATATTCTTTGGTTTTGGGGTCAAAGCAGATCTGAAGAGAGAAGAAGAGAAAGTCATGTGCGTGCGGATGGATCCTTTTTAATGGTTTTTTTTGGGTCTTCACTTGATCCGTGTGTAAAACACTGTTGAAATATTTTGTTTTGTTTGTTGTTAAAAAAGCTTTTTTTCTTCTAATGTTTAACACTGTTAGATAACTTCCTTAGGTTGGATTTTTTTTTGCAAATTCCTCGATTTAGAATTATGATAATTTTATCAATAACAACAGTACATTTTGAATGTATGTGTTGGGTGAAAACAAATAAAAATAGCTGTAAATAGAATAATATCATTGATGTTATTTGCTGTTTTTGTTTGGTTGTACTTGTTGCAAATCATCTTCATCACTAACATGAAACATATTTAGTCCTCTTACGTGTAAACAAGACATATAAAAAAACATATAATCTGCGACAAAACGTTTCTTCGACCATCTATTCGCGCTTTAAATTTGAAATATTTTCAAACGTATACTTGGATGCAAAGATTCGTAAAATTAATCTTTGGGTCTTTACGTGTAAACAAGACATGTAAAAAGTATATAATCTGTGACATAACGTTTTTTTGCCATCTATTCGCGCTTTAAATTTGAAATATTTCCAAATGTATACTTGGATGCAAAGCCTCGTAAAATTAATTTTGGGCCTTTACGTATAAACAAGACATGTAAAAAGCATATAATCTGCGACATAATGTTTTTTTGTCATCTATTCGCGCTTTAAATTTGAAATATTTCCAAACATATACTTGATGCAAAGCCTCGTAGAATTAATTTTTGGACCTACACAACATTTTAGATGTCTACGGTTATTAAATAAAAAATAATCTGAAGAATTAATAATGACACTTTTTAATTTAGCTAATAGTATAGAATTATTATTTTTTAATTTAGCTATTAGTATATAATTACATTTTAATAAAAAATCAAAACTGTAAACTTCTAAACAATTTCAATTTGTAATGTTCGTTTGCTCAACAATAGTTACCCAGTCAACGAAAGACCCACAGGGAGTTTCGAGGAATCTGTGGCTAGTTGTTATAGGGCAATTTGGATGTAAAAAAAGTGTGGGCTTCATTTTGATATTATTCTAAATGATAGGGACCTTATCAGAATTTTACAAAACAAAAACAAAGAAATGTTCGGTGAGTGGTTATTCTGGTAAAAAGAAAAGTATTGGGCTTATGATGACATTACTTAAGAAATATAAGGGTCTTTTCAATATTTTACAAATATACATAGGACTGTTTATTTCTGAATCTCTCTCTCCCTCTCCCTCTTTCTCTCGGACTTACTCTCTGGGTTTAGGGTTCCTATAGATCGTCAGCGACACCGAGCGTATCGTGCCTCTCTCGCCCTTATTTGACTTCGGTACGTAATAAATTTCTCCCAACGAGCGGTGTAGGGTTCTTCTTTTAAGCACTAATTTAGCTCTACGAAGTCTTTCTTCTAAATCATGGTATCTAGTATCTACGAAGCTTTTTTTGTTCTTCAACTCTTCAGTGTCTTCTGTGAAATCGAGGTGGATTAGGCATGTGCGTGTTTCGATTTTATACGCCTAGGTATATGTTAGCTACTGGATTTGCTGTTATTGGTCCAAAACCACAACATTTAGAGAGATCTCGATTGCTGATGCTTCTTTAATATCTGGATTTATTCCCTTGCGGCTTGATAATAGATACGTATGCTTCTCAAGCACAACGAAAAAAGTCTCCAAGTTAGCTTGTTGTTAGCATTACATCATTTTTTCATGATTCAATCAAAGATCAAACCTTGCTTACCTATTGCTTTCGTTGGCTTTACTTGGGAATTAGAATGTGCAGTTTTCTTGGTACTTCTTGGGTGTTTACTAACAGCTTGAAATTTGATATAGGGATATCTGTAGAGCTTCACAACTGTGTGAATATTGATATAGTGTGATCAGTGTGCTAATTCTCGTTTCCCTCGTGGAATCCAGGTTCCAACCCGATTCACAGCGGCTAAGATGGAGATCATGCCAAGAGAGAATGAGAACGCTTTGTCAGGTCCTAGACCGATGGATTTCTCAACTGTCCCATACAGTGCTCCCCTTGGACCTGGTCCCAATGGCAAGCAAAGGACATCGAGCTTGGAAGCGCCTATTATGTTGCTAACTGGACATCCAAGTGCGGTCTATACCATGAAGTTCAATCCAGCTGGAACTTTAATTGCATCTGGATCCCATGACAGAGAAATCTTCCTATGGAGAGTTCACGGGGACTGCAAAAACTTCATGGTTTTGAAAGGTCACAAGAACGCCATCCTTGATCTTCACTGGACCAGTGATGGCTCCCTGATTGTATCAGCCAGTCCGGATAAAACTGTAAGGGCATGGGATGTTGAAACTGGAAAACAAGTCAAGAAGATGGCTGAACATTCATCGTTTGTGAACTCTTGCTGCCCTACGCGTAGAGGACCACCACTTATCATCAGTGGATCTGATGATGGAACTGCCAAGCTTTGGGATATGCGCCAGAGAGGAGCCATACAAACATTTCCAGATAAATACCAAATCACAGCCGTCAGTTTCTCTGATGCAGCCGATAAGATCTTCACTGGCGGTGTAGACAATGATGTTAAAGTTTGGGACTTGCGAAAAGGCGAAGCCACCATGACACTCGAGGGCCATCAAGATACAATCACAGGAATGAGCCTAAGTCCAGACGGTTCCTACCTTCTCACCAATGGAATGGACAGCAAGCTCTGCGTGTGGGACATGCGTCCTTACGCACCACAAAACCGTTGCATAAAGATCTTTGAAGGGCATCAACACAACTTTGAGAAGAACCTACTGAAATGTTCATGGTCGCCTGATGGTACCAAAGTCACTGCTGGTAGTGCAGACCGTATGGTTCATATATGGGACACAACCACTCGGCGCATACTGTATAAGCTCCCAGGCCATAAAGGCTCTGTCAATGAGTGCGTGTTTCACCCTACCGAGCCAATCATTGGATCTTGCAGTAGCGATAAAGATATCTACCTAGGCGAGATCTGAAATTTTAGAGCTGTGAGACGTTTGCAATGAAGTCTTTAGATTCAACAATGTGTTTAAGACAATTTGTTTATTGAGAGAGAGAAATAACCAAATATTGCTCTATGTTACAAGTAATCATGAAGAAGAATTGTTTTTTCCTGCAACATCTTTATGCTCTTCATCTTCTTGTACTCTAACTTTATTTCCACAGCAACTTTTTTTATGTTCTTCAACCACATGTTTCTTCCCCAAGCTGTCTCTTTTCTCCGCAAGCTCCAATCTTTTCTCCATAAACTCAGAATTCTCCTTCCAAATCTCTCCATTAGTGTACACCTCTTTCTTCCATATCGGAACAGATGCCTTCAGCTCGTCGATCATGAACTTGCAAGCATCTAAACCATCTGCACGGTGAACAGATGAGACGGCGATGAAGACGCTGGTTTCTCCAACAGGAACTGGTCCCAGACGGTGAGCAACCGCAATCTTGTGGATGTCCCAAGTTGATCTAGCGGTTGTACAGATGGAGCCGAGGCATCGTGTTGCCATTGGTACATATGCTTCGTACCTTAGCTCCAAGACTGCCTTGCCCTCGAACATGTCTCTTGTAGTGCCTGAGAATGTTGCTATAGCACCGGCTTGAGGGGCACTAACGTAATCGATGTACTTGACTATATCGACTTTGTGACCTTCCTCCAATATTTCTATGAGGTTCTTCTCATCCGAAGACATCTTCGTCTCTTCTTTTGTCCAATACAACAGGAACCTCCTGAAGAGTGAACCTCCAGACAGGCGATGTTTCAACAGCGAATTCTAAACTGCAAGTAGAGTAAATCAATAACATGATTACTTGTCATAGAAAACTAATCAAGCAATTAGTCAAAATCCACCCCAAATTTGCTGATATAAACAGACAATTGGCTTAGCAAAAGGGAAGAGAGAAAATGAGCAGATCTTCTTTGCCCAATCTTATGTCAAAATCATAGTTTTAAAGAGATACACGAATTCATTCATCTACGTATCCAAAAATGGAAGAGTCAACAACAAAGTAAGAATAAAGATCTATGAACAAACTCCGAACATGTCTTAAATCAACAGAGTCGCCAAATTGGTCAAGTTTTATCGAATCAGATCAAAGAACATGCACAGAGCTCTAAAACTGACCAAATTCTGAGCCTTGTCAAAATCCCAAAGTCCAATCACGGTCGAATCGAATGGAACAGAATCAGAGATACACGGAGATAACGACAAACAAGAATCGTCTCTTTCAGTATCTTTTATCCAATGAAAATTGATACTTTTCTCTCTTTCGAAAAGTTGGTAATAAGTAATAACGTTAACAGCTGCCCAGAAATGAAAACAAGGCAAGGAACAAAAAGAGAAAATCCAGAAAGATTTTATTGACCTTTGGGAGTTTGGTAGGGACGAATTATCAAGAACATGTGCTCCTCATTCACCTCTCTATCAGACTTGTAGGTTGGTGAGGGATAGATCGATAAATCAGAAATGTTTTTTTTTTCTTTTTCACTTGAAACTTTCAAAGTCTCTTCTTTTCTCCAGATGTTCTGTTTTTTACCAAAGTCAATTCAGGGAAAAGATATTAAAAAATCCTGTAAAACTTCGAGAAGCGACGTCGTTTAAGAGCTACAGAACGATCTAATCAGTGCTTTCGTCAGGTTTTTAATAATCGCAAAAGAGAAAGAATCATCTCGCTAGTCTCTCTTTCTCTGCTTCTCTGTGTGTCTACAGTTTTGGGAAAGTGAGGGAGATAATCAGAGCAAAAGAGCAATCATGGCTGCGACATCTTCCTCTGCTTTCCTCCTTAATCCGTTGACTTCTCGCCACCGACCCTTCAAATACTCGTCGGAGCTCTCTTCTGTTTCCTTATCTTCTAGAAAGGCGGCTACTTGCGATTTTCTCCCTGCTGCTCTCGCGCTCAAGAGACAGAGCAAGAGGTGTGCCGATGTTGTGTGCAAGGCTGTGTCTGTCAAGCCCGAAGCTGGAATTGAAGGGCTCAATATCGCCGAGAATGCCGCTCAGGTTAGATGGGTTTTTCTTCTACTTAGTGTTTCGATTGCATCTGGATATAGTGAGAGAGGAAAAAGTAAAATTAATCTTACTGAGCATGAAGCGTGTGAATTTGTCTTCTTTGGCTAATACAAACAGTTTATTTGTATCTCTCTTCTTTGTCTGATCTTGTTTGCCTTTTGATCTTATGAACTGATTTAGCTAATTGGGAAAACTCCGATGGTGTACTTGAACAACATAGTCAAGGGTTGTGTTGCAAGTGTTGCTGCTAAGCTTGAGATCATGGAACCATGTTGCAGTGTCAAAGATAGGTTTGTGTAACCGATTTGGTTATGGGTTGCTATCTTCGCATATTTATTCTGAATTTCTGCTACTACGGTGATTTCAGGATTGGGTATAGTATGATTACTGATGCTGAGCAAAAAGGACTTATAACACCTGGAAAGGTATTAATTTTGGATTTCAGTCTTTTAGCTTACTGACGATAGACATTGTATAGTAAAAAGTTCATTATTCTTGGTGGTTTGTTCTGCATTGAGTCTCAAGTGCTCTGACTATTTTTATCTGGTTCATTTTTCTAGAGTGTTCTTGTGGAATCTACGAGTGGAAACACAGGGATCGGCCTTGCATTTATTGCTGCTTCAAAAGGCTACAAACTTATATTGACGATGCCTGCGTCCATGAGTTTGGAAAGGCGAGTTCTTTTGAGGGCATTTGGAGCTGAGCTTGTATTAACTGAACCTGCAAAAGGCATGACTGGAGCGATTCAGAAGGCTGAAGAAATCTTGAAAAACACTCCCAATTCCTACATGCTCCAACAGTTTGACAACCCTGCCAATCCCAAGGTCTGTGGTTGCTTCTTTTTCCATATTACTCTCTACCTGTGACATGGATCACGAGTACCTCTTGTTCTGCACCATAATAAGAAAATGTGCAAGATTGAGTTAATGAAAATATAGAAACTCTTCTGCATTTCCTTTTGTGTCAACCTTGGTATTACTGTTTAGTTTCTATTGGCATCTTGAGACTCTCTGGTTCCAGTTTTTTAGGCTGCAAGTATTTGCTAGTGTTTTAATATAAAGCATATGCAGATTCATTACGAGACTACCGGTCCTGAAATTTGGGAAGATACAAGAGGCAAGGTGGATATATTGGTTGCGGGAATTGGAACTGGTGGAACTATCACTGGCGTTGGTCGGTTCATCAAAGAAAGAAAACCTGAATTAAAGGTATATACAGCAAAAGGGCTTGCAGCATCTGAGCTGGAATATATCTGTGGATATTAAAACCTCTATAATTAGAGATATGCTATTCTTTTAATTAGTAAAAAATTTCTGTTAAATTATTTGATGTTTTCGTGTACCAGGTTATAGGTGTAGAACCCACTGAAAGCGCCATACTTTCTGGTGGAAAACCTGGTAAGGCAGTGATTTTGGTTCCTTGCATCTCTGACATACTATTCCATAACCCTGCTCTTTATTTGTCTTGTATTTTGAAATGCAGGACCTCACAAGATTCAAGGAATTGGAGCTGGATTTGTTCCTAAGAATTTGGATCAGGCTATTGTAGATGAATACATAGCGGTATGATATATTTGTGTGCACTGCTCTATAGTCATACAGTCATATGGTTTTTAGTTTATCGGTTGACATACGAACATAAATAGTCTGAGCATGAAAAAGAGTGGGATAAAATGTTTCCAGGATCTTGAGATTCAAACTTCACCTGTTACTTTGCTTTCTATCAGATTTCCAGTGAGGAAGCTATTGAAACCGCAAAGCAACTAGCTCTCCAGGAAGGCTTGTTGGTTAGTCTTTCTTTTTTGACTTATTTCTGTGTGAGGATACTCTTTAAAAGAGAAATTGAATTTAAAGGACAAATTAAACAAATGTATGAGAAAACCTGTGATGCTTAGTGAAAGATTATAACGTTTATTCAGGTTGGTATATCTTCTGGAGCTGCTGCTGCTGCTGCAATCCAGGTCGCCAAGAGACCTGAAAATGCCGGGAAACTCATAACTGTAAGTCCTCAATCTTTGCATCTCCAAGCCCTAGTCCTTCATCTATGAACAGAAAAGAGAAAAATTGAGCACTTGGAGCGTAAAATTCAATATATCATATCCCAAAAGTGGTGGGGAATCAATGAAAACGCTTTTAGCTAGTGTCGAGTAAAAATGTGAGTTACAGATTCATTTGTTTGCTAGAAATTTGACCATTGAGTTGATGAATCTTGTTTCCAGGTTGTGTTCCCGAGCTTTGGGGAACGTTACCTCTCGACCCTGCTTTTCCAGTCGATTCGAGAAGAGTGCGAGAAAATGCAGCCTGAGCTTTGAATTTCCTCTGTAGTTTCTTGACCTACAAGGAACCTCTTCTTTGATTTCTTTCTGCTTGTTTCTCCTAATAGGCGTCTTTGTAGGAGTCTCCACGTCTACTGTATATTTGCATTGTGCAACGCAATTGGTGTTTATTAATAAATGCATAAGAGGTTCTAGAAAATAAAAAAGGCCTACTGATAGTCTGATTACTCTGATAATACAATCAATCTCTGCCGAAATGTTTTGTCCTCATTGATCAAGTTGTTAAGTTGTAACAAATTTGTTTAAGTTTAAACTGTACACCTAACTTTGTATAAGCTAGTACAAGAAAGATGAGTTGGGCTTATATAGTGTATTACAGCCCATGTAATTGGGCCCATTAAAACTGTTGCCGACTGAAAAAAAAAAAGAACTTTTTTCTTGTTGACAACACGGAACCTCATGTACCAAAAATATCAGCTTTCTGCAATTTCAGGGTTCGTAGGGTTTATCGTTCGTATAGAATCAGGTTCCGTCCACTTCCAATTTTAATTTTTGTTGCTCCTTGGATTAATTTGTTTAATTACTGAAGAATCTGAATTGTCGGATTTTTTTTGTTGGTTTGATACTTTCTGCTCTGCTTGCACGTCGATATTTGATTTTCAGCTCGAGATCTGCTGAATACAAACGGAAATTTGATACCCCAAGATGTTAGCTTTTGGATGTTTTGATTTCGAATTAGTTGTTATATTTTTATGGGTAGAGCTTATATTTCTGCTATGAGTTAGTTTTTCGTCGACGGGTAAAGCTATATGCTTCTGATCTGCACCGATTCTAATTGACATTTGATGCGGAAAAGGTTGTCGATTGATTGTAGTTTAGTGATCATGAAATATGGAATCGTATAGGGTCTCCATTATAATGCAAAGGACAAGTTTTGTTTACTGGAAATGTATTTGCAATCTTCACTCCCTTGACTTGATTTCATTAGTAGATTCTGTTTTCCCCTGTACTGTCACATAAACTTGGCATTATGATCAACAACAAATGGAAAATTCATTTTTGATTGATTTGAGAATTGGTATTTGCATTATTATGAACGAAATCGACTTTACGGGCATCGAATAGGAGTGAACTGTGGTTGGTGAGAAATAAGAGTAGCTAATGCTTCTGATTTGTTGCATCTTGGACACGATTAAGATAGTTTACTTCCTGACATATCACACTTTCTCTGAATCTCTCGCAGGATTATAAAAGAGTTTTGAAAGAATGGCGGGATTTCCAGGGTTGAGCTTTCTAGGCCCAAAAAGCAAGAACATGGTAGTAGCGGGAGGCTTGACAGCATTTGTATCTGGTGTATACTTCTACACAATGAGGGCTGTTGGTGGCACCGACGAGCTTCAAATGGCTATTGACAAGTTTGAAGACCAAAAACCGGTTAAGTCCGACCCCAAGGCTCCATCGAAGGTCTGATCCTCACCACTTCACAGACTTGAGATGTCCAATGGAAACCTTTTGCTTTTTACTTTCCGCTGTGTCTAGTGAAGTACTTAATTCGAAGAATGTAAAACGGATTTTTGGTCAAACGAAGAGCCCTGTTAAGCACAATTTTCAAGGGTTTTCTTTTATGTACCTGGAAACTTGTCTAGCTTGAGACGTCCATTGGAAAACGAGTTTTGTTTAATTTTCCTGACGCCTACTGGACTAGTTATATAACATTGTAAAACGAATTTTGGTCAAACGAAGAGTTCTCTTAAGCACAATTTTCAAGGGTTCTCTTCAATGTAATTCGAAACTTGCTCCCAGTGAATTCCACGAATAAAAATTTTTATGATGAATGTTTGTGTTTCAGACAAGACGGAGTATCTTATATAATCGTCCTTTGTCTATCTCACCCTCTATCCTCCAAAAAACTAGAGTACTGCTTCTTATATAGAGATGATACGGGCAGGTTCAGTTGGAAGAAGAGATACACGTGACCGCGTTGAAATTGACGATGACTTTAATGAATGGGACGTCCCAGGTGACTCTGAATTTGACGAGAAGGGACGCACCATGATCTCTCACATCTACGTTTCTTTCGATAGTATCATAAGATCTATTCAGTTTGGTTACTTGGAGATTGGAGCTCTAGTCCTGTCTGAAAAGTATGGTCCATCTGAGGGGTACAGCTTTCGAGTTGTAAGTCGGTAATATATATATATATATATATATATATATATATATTGGATTTTTAATAATCTCCCTGTCAATTTTAAGTCTGATGAAATTAACCGCAGGTGAGACTGAATCAAGATGAATATGTGACTGGCTTGAGTGGAGCACTTGGCCAATATGGAGGAATCAGAAATTTGACATTTCACACTAACCGTGGGAAGCACGGACCGTTTGGGCACGATGATTTGGATGCAAGTCGTCGTCCCTTAATTGAAATTGATCCGGCAATACGTGATCGACGTGAGTTTGGTGGTTTCTTTGGATCTTACTCTTCAGGCTGTGTGACATCGATTGGTTTGTACGTGTGTCCAATTCCTAGTTCTCACAGGGTGGTTTAACGTGACCAAGCAAAGCCTAGTAGCAGCGTTCATCCAATATTCTGGTTCAATATGTTGTTTGCCGTTTCTCGAAATAAAGTTGCTCCAGTGGAGTAATGTCGTTGTAGTGTCATCTTTGATCTTTCTATCTTCAACGTAATAAAATATCCCGTTTCTTCTTCTTCTTCTTGTTGTTTATCCCGCTTCTTGCTTTGATTAGAAGCCATTTTAAATAAGCATCAGGTTTCAGTTAACCTATTTGTTTTAGTAGAATGATTGTTCACTATGGCATCTGCTTAACCACCTTGGCTTGTTTTCCTTAAAGCCTCCGGGACTTGTGCATGAAATTATAACATGGTTTTCTCTTTATCTTCAAAAGAGTCAATGAGTCGTCTTTAATTAGCACATGACTAGAGGGTTCTTTTATACGTAATTTGGGACTTGTTCTTTGCTTGCTCCCCGTGATCACCATCAATAACAAAGAATCCACAAAGACTCTTCAGTCCTTGGAAAATTTCCAATATATATAATCCGTAATATGTAAGCAACTCTTCGGTCTTTGGAAATTTAATGGTTTCTTTAGATCTTGTTGCTCTTTTCGTCTCTACTCGATCGATCTCTATCTCAAGCCTATTCCCACTGGTCCTCTTATCTCCATGCAATGTCGTTTAATTTAACCCAATCATCATTTCTCTTTACTTTACTTTCCTTTCTTAGTTAGAACTATTGGTGGTATTTCTCTTAGAGTTTGAGAAGAGATGAAAAATTACACGAAATAAAAAGGTTCAGAACGAGTGAGTTTTTCTTAATTGCATTGTGTTTCACAGCTGTATATAAGATATCATAGGTAAAAAAGGAAAGCACGAATTCATAAATGGCAAGCAAATAAAAATAAAAAAGATTTCCAAGTTTACGTATATTTTTATTTAGGAAGTTTTCTTATAGAAATTATATAAACCTTTCTATCTTTTTTTTTTAACATTTCCTTTTTATTCACCTATTCTTCTTTAAGTATATGTAGTGCTCACAAGAAGAAATTAGATAATTTAAGAGTATCAACAGAAAGAGTATTCAGAGCTTAATTGTTTCGATAATATGAAGATGTTCAAAGTAGGACCAATTGGGAAAAAAGATTCGAAGGATAAGAGTTGGACCGAGAAGGAATACACCAACATCTCTAATATATATATTTATTTCGACGACTACGGCATAAACTCTATTCAATTTAGCTTTTCTCATAAGGGGACTCAAGTACTGTCCCAAAAGTACGGTTTGTTCACAGGTCATTACTTCCAAATCGTAAGTTTTTTTTTTTCTTCTGATATATAGTATAGTGGTTAACATGAAAGCATAGTGGAATCTATTCTTAGTTACATATTTGTTTTTTTGTTGGTCAGAACAAGTTTTGTTTACGGTATATGGTTTTTCATTTTTTGTAATTAATTTGTGATGGAGTAATATATACAGATAAGACTGAAAGACGATGAGTATGTGACTGGATTGAGTGGATTTTACTCGAGTCAAAAAAAAATATCAGTTTTCAATTAACCTATTTGTTTTAGTCGAATAATTGTTCACTACGGCATCTATTAATCAGTAACCCACCTTGGCTTGTTTTTTTTTCCCCCTTTAAAGCCTCTTAGACTTCTGCATGAATTTGTAAATCGTATTCCCACAAAACCAAAGAGTCAATGAGTTTCTTTAATTAGCACATAACTAGAGGTTTCTTAAATGTTATTTAGGACCTACTTTTGGAAAAAAATTGAGATTTTTGCTACGCTTGACTTGATTCTCATGAACACCGTACGTAGATAAAGAAGTCAGAGAAGACTCATCGGTTTCTTGCACAATCCTCCCATAGCCCGCCTATATTCATGCCAATGCTAAGCGATCAGTTTCAGTTCTTTGCTACTGATCAGAAGTCTCTCATATTGTGGTACAGCTCAATCTTTGATTGAGAGAATGCTAGCTTTTTTTTTCTTTCATTATATATTGTGAAGAAATGAGGCAGGTTCTGTCTTTCAAAATTGAACATTCAAATTATAACAAAAAAAAAAAAAACACATTGCAGATTCAGTTTGGGAAATATTAGACTTACTTATGTATAATACATATCAATTCCTCACTTAGCTCGGAGGACAAAACATATGATCCAAATCACTCTTAGTATATACACAAAGAAGATATAACTGTAGTAGGGTCCTAGCAACTTAGTTGAGGAGTTTGGATTTAGGTGTAGGAGAGATATTCCTCATTTTTTTCCTACACAGCAAAAGTTCCTAATAATCTTTCAGGACACAAGACACTTGATCTTGTCTATGATTCGGGCATCTTCAAATATTAATTAAGTCACAATCTCATTTCTTTTTCATATCTTCGATCTTCAAAACAAAGTTAGTTAACTCTGTTGTATATATTCAGTTTGAGGAGATGATCAAAATATGATGCGATGAAATAAAAAATCATTAGAAGGGGTCTCTCGCGCATTGTGTTTTAGAGTTCAAACAATAATCATTGTAGGCTTCAACAAGAACTTAACCCGTTAAGCGGTGTCTTGCGTCCAAGCTTTACGATTGTTTTCTTATCTGGGTACAGGTAGACAACAACTCTAATGCTTATATATTAAACACATTGCCAAAAGGAAAAATTCAAACTTTTTGATAGTTATATTCCAAAATTCGGCATCTTGACTTGTTTGCATAGAACCCCGGAAGAAAAAAAGGAAGATAATTTATAGCTTAAGATAATTAGTATCATTATATGAATATAGGGAATCATAGGTAAAAAAAATCACAAAAAGTCTAGAAATAAAAAAAAAAAAAAAAAAAAAAGAAAAAGAGTGAAGCGACTAGATCTTACTTCTTAGGAAAATATTTCTTTTTACATTTTTTTATTGAATCTTGAATTTAGTAAACTTACTGTTTTCAAGTTTATTTAAATTTTAATTTAGGAAGTTTTCTTAAAGAAGTTATATATGTAAACCTTATTCTACCTATAAGTATCTATGTATCCTCACAAGAACAAATTATTTTAGGATTATCAACAACAAGAGTATTCAGAGATGTTCAAAGTGGGACCAATGGGGTCAAGTCGTAGTTGCTATAATAGTTGGGAGTCTTGGGACGAGAAGGGACACACCATGATCACTGCTATATGTATTTCTTACAGCAAATATGGCATAAAATCTATACAGTTTAGTTATGTAGAGAACGGAGCTCATGTCATGTCTAAAATATACGGTTCCTCCTCCGAAGGTCAACAATTCAAAATAGTAAGTTTTCGTAGAATCTTCAGTTTTTTTTTCTTACCTCTCACACGTTTATAAAACTAACTATATTTTGCAAGTTTACATGAAAGCTTAGTAGGAATATTCAGATTTTGTTTCAGTTAAATTAATGTTTACAGTATATAAGTTTTTTCTTTTTTTTCTTTTTTGGGGTACTATACATCCTGATGAAGTTAAGGCAAATATGTATATACAGGTGAGACTAGAAAAAGATGAATATTTGACGGCGTTGAGCGGAGATTGTAATATGAGTATCACGTCTTTGACATTTCACACTAACAAGAGGAAACACGGACCGTTTTGTAAGAGATCTGGTTCTCTCAAAAGCTCGAAGATGGAAATTGATGTGGGGATAAGTGATCGTAGTGAGTTTGGCGGTCTTTTTGGGACTTTCTCCGATTATGGTGGAGATGGAGGCGATTTGATATCCATTGGCATGTATGTCTTGCTCCCCAAGTTATCTCCAATACCTAGAACTATAATCACCCATAACCGAACACTTGGTTATCAAAGCCCCAAGATCGTCGATGGTTTTCCTGTCAAGCCCAACCGCCGTTATAAGCCCAAACTCAAAGACCGGATACTCTCCATGTTGGGTAAAGCTCTTCGGTTTCTTACTAACCTTTGATTTGCATTCTCGTCCAAGAGGTTTAGTACTCTTGATTATTATTTTTTTTCTTTTGTGCTTTGACTAAAACCTAGTTTAATGGAGGAATGCCACAATTTTTGTCATCTATGATCATCAGTTTTATAAGCATTGTTCACTACGGCATCTGCTTGGCTTGAATTTTTAAAGCCTCTGAAACTTGTGCATGAAATTGGAATGGTAATCTCGCAAAAGTCAATGAGTCCTCTTTAGCACCACTACTCCAGTTTTTTTTTATATATGTAATTGGGGCTTTTGCTACGATTCATTCACATGAACACCATAAATAACAAGTCAAAGTTTGTGAGACAGAGTTTGTGACTGGGTTATCTGGAGAGTGGGCTGCTGGTTTTATCACGTCCCTGACTTTCCACACAAACGAAAAGGCACACGAAGCGTTTCGCTCAACCTCCATCTTCGAGGATAAGATTGACAAGAGAGAGTTTCATTCGGGGATATATACATGATCGTTGTGAGTTTGGGGGTTTCTTCGGTTCTTGTAGCTCTGATCGTCTGCTATCAATCGGTTTCTATGTTAAGCCTGTCATCGAAGGAGTAAACACGATGCTTCGTGAAGTTTGGCCTTTATAATCATTCATTGATTTCATGCGTTTTACTTATATATGCTTATTTTATGGTTGGATTGTGTTGGTGAGATTTTGGGACTGAGTCTTTTGCTCAAGAATGTTATGAATTGAGATTGAAGAATGTAAACACATCAGCTATATATCACATTGTGGAAGGACCTCAATCTTCGATTGACAAACCACAGGAGATCTATTCAATGTTTTCTACATTCATCAGTTTAAATAAAAAATTGTTATATTGATGACGTTCAAAGAGCCCAGATATATAAAAAAAAGTTATATTGATGACGACACAATTTCAGAACTGATCATTACGTCTACAAAATGAAATCTTTTGTTTATCTTTTTTTTTCGTGACTCTCACCATAGAACATCCTCTTGTGTCTAGTCTAGTATACTTTGAATTTGCATTTAAAAACTGTAATATTGATGACGTTCAAAGGAAGAGTCATCTTAAGCACATTCATTTTTCAAGGCTTCTTAAATGTAGTTTGGACTTTTGCTTTGCTCGCTTCCCATACACACAAACCATAAATAAGACTTCGTAAAAACTCCTCGGTCCTTGTAAAATCTCCCTAAACCTTCCTATATATGTGTCCTTCTTTGTGTACTCTTTTTCTCATACTTCTTTGTTTCACGTCCATGGAGAGGGTGAGAATGGGGCCAATTGGTCATTATCAATGGAACCACATCAAATGGAATGAGACTCGTAATAATGTCATATCGCATATAAACGTCTCATTTAACAAAAATGGAGTAACATCCATTCAGTTCGGATATGTCGTGAATGAAGCTCTGGTCATGTCACAAACGCACGGCAAATCATCAGCTGTCTGTAGCAGGAGAATTGTAAGTCTCATTATTGTCGTCCGACTTCCACTGTATACAATGTGTTATGTGTTGATATTCATTTGATTACACAATCTGCAGTTGAGGCTGAACCATGAGTCTGAGTTTGTGACGGGAATTAGCGGGGAGGTATACTGTGGCCGTGTTTCCTCTCTGACGTTTCATACAAATCAACGGACACTCGAAGCGGTTCACTTGACACTTGGTTCAGGAAATGTAGGTCCTGAGAAGATTGAGTTTCATTCGGGGATACTTGATCGCCGTGAGTTTGTAGGTTTCTTTAGATCTTTTGACTGTTCTTCTTATGACTGTTTTTATTTGGCCTCAATAGTTTATTCCTTATCATAAACTGACTTGAGTTTGGGTTTTTTTTTTGTACCTGTTTTGATTATGGTTTTGTTCTCCCTGATGTTAAGACGATTAAGAAGGAAAGGGTATAAAGTTTTAATACTTTAGCTGGTCAGTCTCAACCAATAATTCCATTTCTCAGTTAGTTTATGATGTATTGAGCTTGAAGAGATCAATAAAAGATTAAATAAAACAATCAGGAGTCGCTATCATGTTCTGTGATTGACAAAGCTTTCTTCATTCTTGAGACAAGATTAGGAAGAGTCTTAACAGCAACATCAACAGTTTGGTTCACGCATTGCTCCAAGTCAGTTACCGCTTCATTTCTCGTCTTTTGGAGCTTAGCAGCTTCAAACTTGTCTTGACAAACCACCAAAGATCTATTCAATCTCTCCTACATTCAATACACAAACTTGAATCAGTAAGTGATGTCAGGTAAACAAACTAAGCGATTGCTGTGAGCTATTATCCAAGAGATAAGCAACCAACGCTATCTTTATAAACTCAATGAAAAACCAAAAAGTTTCAGTCTTCAATCACTAATCTTCCAGCATTGAATTACACATGACAATCTCTAATTGAACATCCAATGAACAGAAAACAGGGGCTGAGAAATAGACTCACTTGGAACACAGACATTTCATTATTAAAGTGGTTCTGCGCATTTGTGATTGGAACACTGCAACTCTCGGCGCATTGGCTAATCTCAGCGTGTGTTCTTGTCCTATCAAAGCACTCGTATGCGCATTTGAAGAAGGCTTTCTGCACCAACCCACAAAGTACAAAAAATATACACTTTATTCGATAATCTCAGATTAAGCAGAACAAAGCTTATACAAAAGCTAACTTCATGATTTCAGCAATTGCAGCGGAGTAAACTGAGTCTAGGGTATGTGAAATTTACTTCCTTTCGACACAATTTCAGCAAAGAAGACATAAAAAGTTCAAACGAACCTGAAGGGTGAAAATGATGTGGTCTTGTACGGGAGAGAGGAGAGATTGCGACACGGAACTGACTTCGTTTACTGTCTTTCTGATTCTCTCTCTCACCTTCTTCTCCTCTGCTGTTTGATCCATTTACCGGTGATTTTGATTCCACTTTGCTTTGGTTTCTTTCCTCTTAATTTGGAGTCTTTACTTGCCAAAAAGGGAAAAATAGATCTAACACTAGAAGATATTTTACGCCTTCATAGGTAGTTTCTACCGCCTCCCATGGCGGAATGAATCCCTGAGCATTACCTTATTGGGCCAAGACTCCTTGAATTGATTCCTTCAGGCCCATTAACAAACACTAGATTCTTTCTCGTGGATGAAACATGAAATTAGGGTTGTTATTTTCCTCAACAGCCGTCTCTGTTTTTTTTTGTCTATATAATGAGTAAAGGCGTCGACTTTCAATTACACATCTCTTCGATTGTCTTCTAGGATACTGTTTACGAATTTTTTGAGTTTGATACGTTTCTGATTTTTTTCGAAAACATTCAATGAATTTTAGATTTTTCCTTTTTTCGCATTTACAATAGAAGTTGGATTTTAAAGAAAGCAAAAAAGCCAATTAGCAGAGCAAGGGCGTCGAATATAAAATGGCGTGAATTGCCTTGAAGGTTGGCGATAACAAACTGCGATTCTCCGTGCCTATCAAACTTGTTTTTGGTATTGATAATGGCCTCGAACAAGTCGCTACATTCGAACTTCTTTATAATCCAATCACACCGTTTACTTTTCTTTTCTTCTTTGAAAATATTCGTTTTCGTCCTCTCTTTCCGATCTCTATTCATCGATCACGTAAGTTATAAACTTGAAATATCAGAAAAATAAAAGTTATGAGATTCCTCAAAGCCTTTCCAGTGTGTTACACAAGATAAATGACCACAAAAAAGATTCATCAGGTTACTTAGTGGGAGTGTCATCAGGTTACTTAGTGGGAGTGACGAAAATAGTTTGAAGATGCAAAAGAAGCTTTATTTGGCTGTGGTTTGACTAATATCATAAAGTTAGTTGGGTTTCTCGCACATAATCCTAATGATGAGATTCTTTCGTTTTGTTAAAAATTAATACGGAATATATCAAATCTAAAGACCAAGTTTAGACATTTTACAAAATATTATGGGTCAGATTAAAATGATCTAATGACTAGCATAAACTGTTCCATATATAAGCTCACACTCCCAAATGACCAAAATTAGTAAATCCTAAATTCAACTGGTCCATATATCAGCTCACAATCCCTAATGACCAAAATTAGTAATTCCTAAATTCAAATGAAAAAAGTCCAACTATTTCGAAGTCACATACTTTTGTTCCATCCAATTCTTAGACCAGTCTGTAGAGATTAGCTTATCTAAGTTTGTTTCGAAAATCCGTTAAATGAACTGAACACCAGTATATATCGGATAAGCATTTTCAAAAACAAAATCAAGGTTTGTTTTGTATTTTCGTTTCGAAGTTTATCTTGCATTCCCTAAATTCAACACATTTGTAACCTATGGTAAGCTGTACCTTGAACTTTGAAGCAAGTTTCTTATTCATGGATGGATAAGCTTTCTCTGAAATGAAACTTAGCTTTGTTTATTGAATTTAAGATTTCTGAAGTCATTAATGGGCGGGAATAGGTACTCATGGAAATCACCAAATCAAAGCGTGTTAACCTTGCCCAAATAATTTACTGTAAATTGACATGGAAGATATTCATCATGATTATCCATCAAAACTGCTAAAAGCCACAACATGAGTTCTTGTTTAGAAGGAAGAGCAGGGAGAAAGCAAAACTAACCTGAACTGAAACAAAACTCCACAGTGAAAACTGAGTACAGACCAGACTTTTAACTGTTTAACGACTAGAAGTGTACTAAGGGACCAAACACAAAACATATAGTGACTGGGAAAAACAAAGCTACTAAATCACTGCTTCTCAACTTTGTAACTAGACCCACGAACATCATCAGAAACCATAGTAATCTACACCAATTTCAAGAGCACACAGATCGAATGAGGAGCCGAGACAAATGGGTTTTTTTATGTCTTTGTCCTTTTAGAGCTGCACTTCTCTGTCATGTATCCAACTGAAAGGAATCTTGGGTCCTTTCTTGGCTCTTGCTTGAGCTCTCTCATCCAGTCTCCTGATTCTTGGAGCCAACCCGCATAAATAGTCTTGTGCTTTGTTTCCTTCACCTGAAAGCCCGTTTAAGTCTCCGATTTTCCACCTACCAACCAAAAACTCAAGAATGTCTGCATAGTCTTTGGCAGTGTAAACACCGAGCCTCTGAGCCACGGAAGAGAAGTTGTCAAAGAGGTTGTCGTTGCGCCCATCGTACATCAAGTGAGCAGGCATTGAGATTTTCTTTCTCATCATGTCTGCAAAAGCCATGACAGTACCATCAGGATCGATCTCAAAGAGCTTTTCAACTATCTTGGTGTACGCGGTTTCATGACGCTTCTCGTCTGCAGCTATTGTTCCACATATCTGGGCTAATTTCAAGTCCCCATGCTCTTTGGCTTGGCGAGCTGTGTTTCCGTGAGAGATGAAGGTTGCTCTTTCTTGGAATGAAGTATAGATGAAGCCAAGGTAGGGATTGTTCTCTGTCCGCGGATCCTATGAAAGACAAGTTAAAAAAGTGATTAGGAAGTTATATTAACCTGGAAATTATGGTAATTGCCTGAAACTATCTCACCATTCCAGATCCAATCAAGTACTGAATCGTCTTTTCAATCTGCCTCATGTCAACACGGCCAGACAAGTAAAGGTATTTATTCAGAAGATCGCCATGTCGGTTTTCTTCTGCAGTCCAAGCTCTTGTCCAAATAGCCCATGAAGTGGGACTAGCACCTGTTTCATCCCGAACTCCATCCAGAGTGTTCAACATAGTTTGATAGGTGGGAAGCGCTTCTTCTGTGATCATGTCTCCCACCAGAACAACAAAGTAATCGTCCGGGAGCTCTCTTGCCCTCTCTCTTAACTCTCTTACCTGATCTTCAAACCCATCGGATGCAGGGTCAGGTAAGAAATCCTGGGGTTGCCACGACTTCTCCACATCCTTGAGATGAATTAGAAGGTTCTTCTCCGCCCAGTCTTCCATAGATTTGAAGATCTCGATTTTTTGGGGTGGCATGGAGTGCAAGACTTGAACGTGCACTTCCCTAGGTGGCGTAAATGGCTTCTTCAAACTCTCAACCTCCCTGCATCAACCAAAAAAAAGGTTATCATCAGCATTTAGTTATACTCCATTGACACAATCAGGAAAGGTCTCATTTCTGATGTACACAGAAGAAACAAGAACACATGTGATTGCATTTAGATAAGCATTCATGTATAATCCTCTAAATATGTTCCTCTACGCATTGAAGAGAACAATTCCAAAACTCGAGGAAAAAGAATATTCTTTACTAGATATCCTTTCTAATGGTCATAGAATTTTTTTCATGACAGATTTTTGGTAATCTGTTGTGGCAGATGTAAGACAAGATGTAACATATGCGTTCATGAATCGATCTTGCAATGGTAATATGAAGTAAAAAGGAAGCTTGCAGGGAGTGAAAGAAACAAAATGTAGTCATTACTGATCAGATCAAGACAAGACAAGAGCCAGATGTCGTTAAGATAGAAACAGAGTGAACAAATTACAAAAAAGTGTGAAAATTTTGAATGGAAACAATAGAGGGGCCACGAAGTACGCATGCATATACGCAAGATGTCTTCTTAAGGAAGCCCTGTAAGAAGCGTGATACCCAACGTAATGTCTTTAAAGAACGAAAACAGACGTAAAGTGACACGTTCAAGAATCTCCTCTCAAAGCACAGAGAAACACATAAAATGAGTACGCAACAAGTGGACATGCCTTTCACCATTAAAAATAACCAAAAAGAAACAAAATTAAAAACCTCAGAAAAAAATAAAATTTGCCCCAGGAAGAATAATCAGACAAGTTCAGGATTTGATTAAGAAGCTAGATGCAATCAATTTGTTCAATGTCTATGAAGCAATCTAAAGATCATAGCAAAAAGTGTTAACATTGAACTGAGACCACCCAATCAGATGTTTGATTACTCTAATCGAATTAGAATCTAAAATAATCCGATGCAGAATCATTATGGTAAAGGCAAAGATGAGCAACCTGGGAGCAAAGTGAATGAATCTAGGATGTTATGATGTGTCATTTGATCAATAAAGAAATCAGATTCAAGAGTACAATGTAAAAGAGCATTAATGAAACGCCTGAGACAGAGAATATCAGAAGATGGCCCCATCTTCCCATCACTAGACTCAGATTAAAGCACATCCATTGAAACCGCACTTGAGATTAAGCAAATGTAAGTAAACTAATTCGAGAAAAGCAAGATCCAAAATCCACAAACAAGAAAAACCCACAACACAGGGAAATAAGGGAACCAAATCTCTTCTACTTGGCAGAAAAATCAGAAAGTAGAGACATTAGTAGCAAAAGGAACAAGAGGATGGAGAGAGACTGACTTGGCGCCGGAGCTGAGAGCCGGAGAGGATGAAGCGAGGGAGAGAAACTTGGGAGATCTGAAAGTAGAAATCGGCGGACGAGCCGAGGAAGGGAATTTGTAGGGCTGAGATGCCAAAGGGTTAAGCTTTAGAGCCATTAGTGAATATGGGAGGTCGTGTTTCTTCAAAGACGAGCTCTTTAACTAATGCTCTCTTTCTCAATCTCTCTCTCTATCTCTGGCTCTCTGGTTTTGGTTTTTCTCAGGTTCAGTTTCGTCCACAGAAAGAGAATGCTTATGAAAAACAGCGGAGAGGGAAGAGTCTGACTCAGAGGAGAGAGATAAACGAAAATCAATAATAAAAATGGAAAATGGCGTCATATTTATGCGAAAACAAAGGTTGAAAATTAAATTAAAAATTTTTCTTTTCTTTTTGAAATTTGGCATCAATTCTAAATACCCTCGAGATTCTTCAATATCACATCATTGTCTATACATATGATTTGGCAGTAGCGATGTCGGTAAAATCATGTAGTATTAGTCAACAATGACTTAATGGTATAATCAAAACACCGACCAGCAATTTTAATAGTATAGTGAACAAAATTGAGAACATTGTAAATGTTGATAATCAATAATACTATTTAGTAATCTGGATTAAGTGGTAAAGCCATTATTGTTTCATCGCAAACGATGAAATAAAAAAATATCTTAGATGTTGAAATTTGTATTAGACATCTCGCAATTCATTGTGGTATTTCGTTTTAATCTCCTTACTATTAATTTATGTATGTCATGCTAGCTTAATCCAACATGAAAATTAGCTAAATATTTGTATCAGTTATTAAAAGACGATTCCTTAATGGTGATTTGTGAGCTCTTAGAGGCTTAAGTATTCAAGATGATAAGATGGCTTCTCATCCTTTTTTTTTCAACATGGCTTGTCTAATTAGTTGTGAATGTAGATAGATCTAACAAATCGATGAGTAGGGGTACAATAGTCAATAGACAATACAAATACAAGTGTTTTTTTGTAATATATTCAATTGTACTCCGGGCGTGATAATCCACGAAAAAGCCAAATAGTAGAGGCATGAGAGAGAGAGAAAAAGAGGGAACAAGTGGCATTGCTTCTCCACGTGGATGTCCCACTTGGCAATGAAATTATATTTACCGTAGATTTTCGTATTACGCATCATTCAATGCTTTATGCTCTGCCAATTTTAGCACAATGTTTTTCATTTAGACCGTGACAAGTTTCTTAAACTAGTACTACTTGTTATTTTCCTTCCACGGCATTGATATTTGAGAAATTTTATATGTATACCAATAATTTATATCGCTTTAATATTGGGAGATGTGTTACTATCCGGATTGGCGGTTTTCCTTCAAATACAAATTTACAATACGACCTGTGTATATGTTTGCATATACATTAATGATTAATTAATACTCTATGCTTTAATCCCAAAAAATTGAAAAAAAAAATTCAAGCATGAAGAGAAAGAAACCTAAGCATTTTAAGCCTTAATAAGCTAACTTTGGTCCATTGTTTTCAAAAGTGTTCCACAAATTCCAAATCTATAATAGGCGCAGACAAGTTTTTTTTTTTCTTCTAAAAGCAAAATTGCATGTACATACGAAGATAGAATAAACAAATGGTAAGATTTTTTTAAAGAACCTCATATTCCCACCAAACAAATGGACAAATGGGCACTGGAAATATGGCAACAACATTTTTTGCCAACAACATGAGATTTGGTTAAAGACTTAAAGATATCATAATTTTGCTGATACAATAATAATTGTTTTCATTCGAAAAAAAAAAACAACATTAATTGTTAAAATTAGGGTTTCTTTTCTTCTATAAAAAGAAGAAATTGATTAGCAAATCTACACTGACAAGACAAATAATGAGTTGTAACTATCCAATCAATTTGAGACGTTTTAATTTATCCAATCAATTTGCACGCAAGGAAATGTTGAGACGTTTTATAATTGAAAAGTGAAAACGCGACAAGTTAGTAGTACAATGTAAGAGTAAGCAAACACAAACACACACTTCTCAGGTCTTGCATGTGAAATAAATACACCGCCGATGTAAGTGTGACCCATCAACAACATAACATTAAAACGATAGATTCAATACAATCAACAACATAAAAGTATTTTATAAAAAGAAACACCATAGATATAATTGTAAAACAAACACCGTCACATGATAAAAATCCTGATCTTCCTCGACAACGACTCTTTTACCGTCCGACGGAAGTCACCGGTTCCGTGATGGTCAAGTGACCTGCAGACTCCATTGTCATCCCCGTATCAAGCACGTTTCCGTTCGTCTCGTACCATAACACTCTTAGCTTCAGAACAAGCTCGAGCCTGTCCCTTATCATGATCTTGTCGGATTTTTTCATTAATCACCCAGTCCGCAAGAGCTCTATATAGCCGAATGTTCCAGCTACTCTAGACTCTAGAGGTCTGAGCTTCATATCCTTGATCACTTGAAACTTGATCATATAGCTTAGCCAATCCAAAATCTCCAAGACTTGCATTCATCTTGTCGTCGATTAGGACAATTCCTGGCTTGATGTCTCTGTGAACCATATAACTTGTAGAAACTAAAAGCCTAGTTAGTTTTTGTTGACGATGCCTGCAAAGACGTAAGAATAGAAAGCTACAGGAGCAAAGTGAACGTCTGAAATCAATATAATTAACCAATTAATGGTGTCCAAAACCTACATGGATCATGAAACAATCAAAGGGCTGGTCAAACAAAATTGATTAATTAATTTGTTCTAGCCAGAAGATATTATTTTCTACATCAAAACTTTTAACTAGTCAAACAAAAGTGATAAAGTAGGGACACCTGTTTAATTAAGCATTACTGCATTGTAAGAAAAAAAAATTATTATCAAACCTCTAAGACAATGATCTTATCATCATGTTTACTTGCTAGTCCAGCCGCTTGCTGGTAGCAGCTCCCAGTTCTGTTTTGTGCTAAACTGGGCCAAAGCCAAGTCCAACAGAAAGTATGACCATATACAAATATATAAGTTCGCTATGTTACAGCCGATTTAAGTAGAACATGAACCACACACGATACATTCATTACAATGAAGTGAACAACAGAAAATATTTCTAAAGCAGAAAATACAATGAAATGAACATCATACATCATTTCACGACCGAAATCGACATCACCTCTCAGCGTCCCCAGGAGGTCAAAGGTTCCGTAAAGGTTAAGGTACCGATGGACCCTTGGGATGCCAAAAGATCAAGTACTCGCTCAGATGTCTCGGACCACATTCTGACCTTCTCGGCTTTCACAATATCGAGTAGATTATCCGGAAGCTGCAGATCACCATTCAAGATCTGGACAACCTTAGACATGTCCGGCCTAATTGCTGCAACCTGGTGCGAACAGAGCACTCCCAGTTTCAGAACAAGCTCGAACTGTTCTCTATTGTGTTCTTGGCGGAGTCTTTCATTGGCTGCCTCGAGGATATCTCCGTTCTCCCAACGATCTAATGTCCATTCAGCAAGGACAACCTCATCGGCAGCTGCTCGTGGCTCTATCAGCCTTCTACCGCAAGAGACTTCCAGCATAAACAGCCCAAAGGCATAGACGTCTGTCCCTGTCGTTGCTCTTCCGCTTCTAATGAGCTCAGGTGCGATGTACAAGAATGTTCCAGCTACTCTAGATGTCTGAGGATCAAAACCCTGGTCGTAAAGTTTAGCTAATCCAAAATCCCCGAGCCTTGCATTCATCTGATGGTCAATCAGGACATTTGCTGGCTTGATGTCTCGATGAATTACAACTTGTGCCCACTCATGATGCAGATAGCAGAGTGCAGAGGCTACGTCTTTGATGATCTTGAAACGTTGATCCCAAGTGAGTTGCTCTTGATTCTCTCTGCGGTAGAGGTACTTGTCAAGGCTTCCATTGGGCATAAAGTCATAAACCAAGTAGAGTTCTTCTTTGTACCTACAATAACCCTGAAGCCTGACTAGGTTTGGATGTCTAAGCCGACCGATTGTTGATATCTCGGCCAAGAATTCTTGCATACCCTGACTTGAATCATGAGAAATCCATTTAACAGCAATCTCTGCATCGGAACCTGGAAGTGTACCCTTAAAGACCTGACCAAACCCTCCTTTACCTAGAAGTTGTTTGTCCTTGAAACCTTTTGTGGCTTTAAAAAGTTCTTTGTAATCAAACCTATGCGGCCCACATTCGATTTCCCATTCCTCTAGAACCTCTTTAACCTTTTTGTGTCTCCTATAAAAGAAGACAGTTAAAGCTGATGCTGAAAGCGCAACAAAGAGAGCTAATGTCAAACAGGTCACCAAAACAGTCCGTTGTTCCTTAGACTCTTTCTTCGGATATGGAGGAATCGTCGGTATCAGCAAGTCCAGATTTGGAACCCCAAAGGAGAGATAGACATGCCAGCTCCACATGTAATGTATTGCTCCAACCGACCCCGTGGAGGCTGCAAAGCCAACATACATTTCCTCCAAAAGATATGGTGACAAATCTTGGTTCAGTAAAAGAAGCGGCCGCTTCGGGACATTAGGGTCCTCTGCTGGAGATAAGGTAACACTAAGCAGTTTTTCTTTCCGGCTATACAAAATCGTGACTCGGATGAGATCTCCACTGATCAAGGAAAGATTTCTTAATTGACCCTCTTGATCATAATAGCCAGCAGAAGCAAATTTTATAGACTTCATACCATTAATGTTGATACCAACATGGTTATCATCAATGTCTTCAAATTCATCATCTTTATGTATATCGAGCTCCACAGCGATGATATGATTCGAGCTTTTTCCATTGTTTGTATCGTTGAATATTCCGAGGTACTGATCAGCAAAAGCAGTCGGAATGCCTCTCGTGGGAGAGATGACGAAGGCCATACCGTGAGAGCCTTTGTGCTTATGCTCAGGGACGATAGCAAAGAAGAAGGTGAAAGAGAAAGAAGTCACGGTACCATTAATAGAATTCTTGAAACGCAACGGCTTTTCCTGGAAGGCTTGACCATAGGCGTGCTTCGTAGTGTTGGTCAACGTCGTGAAACCATTCATTAACCCGGCAGATCCTTCCTTAATCAGCTTGCCGAGGGAATTTTCGGTATTACACAGAGCAATGATGACTACAACCATCCACCAGTTGAGTTTACGAGACATGATCATTGATATAGAGAGAGGGGTTTACAAGGGAAAAAAGATTAAGACGATTTAGACTATGTTCTTGTATATATCTTTTGATATGCAAAGAAAAAATCAACTCGTGACTTCAGATATAAAAAGAAACACATGAACTAGTCATAAGACCAGGCAAAAAATAACAGAGAGCTACAGATTGGCAGACCAAAGTGTTTGAAATTAATTAATTTACACGGTGTCCAAATCATTCTTGGATCATGAAATAATCGGTCAGACAAATTATATCTTAAAATGTGAACTGAAGATTATATCAAAGGTCAAAATTTGAAAACAAAGATATGTTATCAGTGTTATTTACTATAGTCTGCTAATAAACTAATGACATCTTTTCACTACATAGTCAAAGTAGAGCCATAAAAATATGAATAAATCTCTAAGACATCGATCTGATATTTAATACGTGACACCATGTTTACCTCGTTCATAATTCGCAAGAGAGAGCAGTGAAGACGAGGAGAAAAACAAATATTTTCGAAGTTTGGGGCAAAGCATATATCTGAGAAATATATGAAGGACTAAAAAGTAAATTAATTAAAACGAAAAATAAAATAAAAGAGGAAGAAATACCAACCCTCGTTAGTTGATGTGTTGTTTCGCCGCCGTCAACCGCCGGTCAATTATCCGAGCATTCTCGCCGCCGCTGCCGTCGATATCGCTGGCTGAATGGTTTCTCTCTCCTTCCGATACCTCTCTTACCACTTAGCCTGTTTTTGCACTCGTTGGAGTTTAAATCTAGTCTTGAAGATACCTTTTGTTTTGTTTTCTGCCCAAAAGATTTTAAAGGTCATGAATTGCAATTAATGGTTTCGAATTTGCTTCAAGTGTAAACCTTTTGATCAATACCATTACCAGCTCTCGTGGTCATATACCTTCTAAATTTCTACACTTCTACTTCAAACCAAATCCTGTCCTTGTTTTTCCTTTTATTATGTTACATCCGTCAATTCATAATCCATACAACAGCAATCAAAATCAACACCACCCACAAATGAAGCAAAAGCAACCAAAAAAAAGAAAGAAAAAGTTCCATTAAAAGAAATCACACATATCTGTTAAACGGTTTCCTACCAACTGTGGCTGGCATTGAGACAGTGGAATCAATGCTCAAATTTCCTACTGATTTAAGTGTCTTGTGCTTCTCAAGAACCACACCTCCAGGTGAACCAGGACCTCTATGACTGCTGCTGTTGCTCATGAGCAATGACCCTTTGTTCCATCTAAACATATCGAGACCTTGTTGCTCTGGAGGAAACGACGACCTCCTCTTCTCGCTACTGACCGATGGTGTACCCATCACTCTCTCCTTTGGATTGCTGTTTGGTCTAACTTTTGCCTTGGCGGAGACTGTTGGAGCCATGTAGCTCGGGAATGGAGGGCAGCTTGTGAGGCTGTCATTGTCTCTGAAAGGAGAATCTTGACCTCTTAGTCTTCCTCTAGAGTATCTTGATGTGCTTGTGCGGATGGGTCTGGATGGAGTGAGAAGTGTAGACCTCGACGATTTGGGTGTGGAAGTGTCTAAGTTGTTGTCATGCCTGAAATGGTGTTGGTTGCTTGACTGAGACAGAGGGCTTGAGCTCAGTCTTGTTGGTGTTAGCCTGTAATCTCTTAGTGGTTGGCTATGGCTCGGTACAGGACTAGCAAGAGGATGTTGTCGATCCACCCAGTTCCACCATAGAGGGAGCCCACCTGAAGTACGAATGTCCTGAGTAGACCTGGGACCGTTTTTCCACAACTACATAGGAAGACAGAGAGAGAGCGAGAGATGTTGGTAAAAAAAGCCGAAAATATGTGCATTAATATGGTGATAGAAATGAGGAAAGATGAGTATTACCTTGTGAGAATAAGCGTATGCCATGGATCTTTCTCTCTTGATGATCGCATCAATCTTCCTCTGTGATCTTGCATCCCTTTCTTCTTTTGTCAGTACACTGTCATCCCAATTATCGTTACCAGCTTCAGAAGCGGCCCATTTTGCTTCATCTTTCTCAACCTGAGCTTGGTTATCCAACATTTTCATGCGGCGTGACTGAATCTGGGATTGAACACGGACCAATTGTTGCATGTACTTCATTGCATTTATTGTCTGCCGCTTCACGCTGTATCCTCTCACCACACCTTGAAGCCTGACTAGACCTTTCAGAGCTCTGAAACTCCTCCTTGCCTGTGTCACTCATATCAACAACTTCCATGTATTAGTAATGGGAGATAGTGCAACGGACAAATCTTGTAACATAAAACAACGAATGTCTATACGTACCACGTAACCTCTGAAAGCTGCTTGAATCTTTGTTGCAGAAGCATGTTGGACCAGGAGAGTTGGCTCTGGTCTATACACAATCTCCCGTCGCTGCACTGCCCTAGGCGAAACCGCTCTTGGAGAAGGGGGCTTAGGCGTTGTAGGTCTTGGAGCATCCAATCTTGGTGGTTCTGCTCTTGGAGAAGGAGGCTTTGGGGAAGGAGGTCTTGGAGTATCCAACTTTGGTGGGTCTGCTCTTGGAGAAGCTTCTCTTGGAGAAGGAGGTCTTGGTGTATTCAACCTTGATGTGTCTGTTCTTGGAGAAGCATCCCTTGGGGAAGGAGGCTTTGGCGAAGGTGGTCTTGGAGTATCCAATCTTAGTGGGTCTGCTCTTGGAGAAGGCGGCTTTGGAGGAACGGCTTTTGGGGAGGCAACTCTTGGTGAAGTTGGTCTTGGAGAAGGAACAATGGGAGGGGAAATTCTCTGAGAAGGAACTCTAGTAGAAGCAGGCCTTAGAGGCGGAGGAGCATTGGCAGAGGCTGATGATGGCTTTGATCGATCAGAGAGCTTTGGCGAAAGGGATCTTGGAGATTCCTTTCTTGGAAGGTCTGCTCTTGGAGAAGCCGGTTTTTGAGAAGCGGCTTGTGGTGAGGCAACTCTTGGAGAAGTTGGTCTAGGAGGAGGATCCCGAGGAGAAGCAGGTCTCAGAGGAGGAGGAGGAGAGGCTGAGGATGGGTTTGATCGATCAGGAGTAGGAGGCCTGAAAACAAGATTGTGATCTCTCTCAGCCTCCCCCAAGATCTTCTCGATACTACTAGGCTCTCTGAAGATGGGAAGGAATGAATTGGTCTCTCCATGCCTTAGCTTCCCAAACCTTTTCTTCCTCTTTTCTTTTTCACTCTTTCTCTCTGCTTCCTGCTGCAAAAATTGCTCAACAGGAGCCAAAGTATCTCATCATCAAGAACTCTTAAATCCAACATTTTTGCTGGCTAATAGAAATCCAGTTAACATTTCTTGGGATTAACTAGCTTACATTGCCTAGCTTCTCTTTGGACTGTGGAGTAAAAACTCTTTTGATTGCAGAAAACCAACTTCCTTTCTTCCCCATTTCTCGAACATTACTTTGCTTACCTGTCGCAATAAAACAGAACTCAACCTTTGTTAAAGCCTTTTCTTTCACACACCTTAAAGGATGAACCTTTCTGGTAATTCTAAGATCTATGCATGGGGGATTTTAAGACCACTACAATCGTGTATTGATTAAAACCGAAATATCTATCAGAAGTATTTCTTACTGTGATTGATGGCTAAGATTTGGGAAGCAGGAGCAAGTTAGCATGATTGCTCTGTAGCACCAAGGATGAAGAACAGGTTCAACAACCAAAACTCGTACCTGCATGATCCAAATGAAACAGCAGTTAAGGACAAAGGAAGGAAATGCAAAGAAGATCCATGAACTAAGAAACAGAAACTGCCAAGGAGAGAGATGGGTTTTAAGTTGTTGAGCTTCCATGAAAAGGAAGTTTTAACTTTTTGACAAATCTTAAGCCCAACTTTATCTTCTCTTGAAATTAGGTGAACTGACTAAGTCATCACAAGAATTGCTTAGAGACACAGAGACGACAGATTTTTCAAGTGTAAAAGCTCTGAAAATTAGAAAATTGAAATATTTTGCTTAGAGAATTTTCTCAGTAAACAACAACTCACAGGTGAGCTCTCTCCCTTTCTTTATCTCTCTCTCTCTCCCCCCTCGAAACTCATGTGTTTCGCATCCCAACAAGAGGAGAGAGATCAACGAGAAACACAGGAAAAGAACAACAACAAAAGACAGATCTTTTGAAATAACCCAGAGAACAAGAAAGTGAAAACGAATATTAAATCAAAGAGAACTAAAAATCATCTCCTCGGTAAAATCACAAGCAACACGAATTACTTACCTCGGTTCTGAGATTTTTGTAGCTTTCCCTCTTCTAGATTTTCTCAAAAGAAATTTAGAAAGAGAGAGAGAGGAAAAAGAAGCAGCCAGAGAAGAAAGAACTCTTGTCTGGTAATTTTCCTTTTTTTCCTCTTTGTCTATCCTCTGCTTCCTCTCAACTCTCACATAAAAAATAGACACTTTAAAATTATGTTTTTCATAATGGGGTATTTAAGAAAAGTATTAGTCTTCTAATCCTTTTTGAGTGTGTGGGTAAATTACTTTGAAATTATTGAAAAGTCTGCAACTTTGGATCTGGGACTAGTTGGTATGGGGATGGAAATTTGAAACTTTTTTCTTACCTATTTTCTCTTACTATACCACCTTTTGGATTTATTTATCGGCTCGATTATCATCATGAAGAGAGAGAAAGAGTTGGCCACTTTATCACTCAACCTTGGCCTACTTTCTTTTACCTCATTGTAACCACAAGCTCATTAACTCATCCCTAGATACCAAACGGTAACATAAAATCTGGTGGTCTGTGTTAGATTCTATAGGATAGTTTGATAGTGTAAGCCAGAAAAAGAAGACGTCATAACCGCATTCTTAGAACATCTCTAATGTATGACTGCATATTTTTCTTTATTTTGGAGTAACTTCAAAATGGAGTTGGGTTTTACTTCAATGTAAACTCCATTTTGGAGGAAAAAATGGAATTATGACCAAAAAATAGAGAAATTCTATTTTTTGCTTTCCATTTTTTACTCCATTTTGGAGTGAAAATTGAAATAGGATTGGAGATAATCTTGCTGCAAAATAGAATTTTACAGTAAAATATGGAATAGGGTTGAAGATGATCTTAACTGCATCCTTAATCAATCATAAAGCTTCCCTAATATCATCAAGAAAAAATAAATGCAAAAGCAGGTCGTCTCAAAGAAGAAATATGCCATTATTATCTTCTTCTTTTTCTTTAAATAAAACAAATGAAGCCATCGACAGCAGGGATGCCATAATTATCGTTTCTTAAGTATATATAAATGTTCCTGTCCCCGCCAAAAAAAGTATATAGTTTTAAAATTTTAAAATACTTGGACAACAAAAACATTAGGTTTAGTGGAGAGATTCTGATTTGTTGATCAGGTGTATATAGTAATCATAATTACGAAAGTGGTACTGTCGTTTTTTGACATTTTGCAACTATCAATAAACAAAAAATATGAGTTTTCTTTGTTTGGTATCGAAATGAGAACAGAATCTGAAGAAATTATCATAGACAAGGTTGATTCCTTTTGTTTGTCTCACGATAATAATCACACGCCTTTCATTTCGCGCGTGATTCTCACTTTCTTGCCTTCCTTCGTAAAGTATTTACATGCGCTAGTTCACGTGATTTATGGTGTTTTCAGTCTATAAATTGAGAGACCATGATTCGAGTATTTTTACTGTAATTTCAAACTACGTATAGTTTGCTACTTCATAGTTGATCATATGTTATAATTAACAATAAACCGATTTTCCACAATTTCATAGATTAGGTTAGGTTTTGCACCTAACGTTTTTCTGGTTATAAACTTAGAAAATCACAATATTGATGTTTTGTAAATTGTAATAGTTGGTAAACTTTTTTTACAAAAAAAAAAAAAAAATAGTTGGTAAACTGATTAGAGTAGCGTGGTTGTTGTGTTGTTTCAGGTTTTTTGTTTTTGTTTTTGTCAACGTGTTGTTTCAGGTTAATTTGGGGAGAACATTTATTTTAAACAAAACTCGGACAGATTATATATATTGAAGACTTGAAATATAATAACTATATAAGTGTTAGAAAGAAAAAACGCATAATGTACCTTTGGAATACAATTCAAGCAAGAATATTAAAATATTTCAACTAAGTGACAAGACAATCTTCTTCTCACATTCCTTCCCACTATAACTCGTCTGCATATATATGCTGCCACATTTGCTCGTGTATATGATTTAATAATTATTTTTTACGCATTAAGACCTAACTAACCCTACTAAGTACTAACTAATCCTACCTATATCAATTCTAATATGTAAATGTGAATTATTATTATATAAATACATATAGTTTTATATTTAGAAAAATTTGATCACTAACCCGAATCGAGAAAGAAAGCAATATAACACAATTAAGTACCTATAGCCACGTTTCGTATACTCTAATATCCTATCATAGAATCTAGAACAAAACTCAAATTGTTACGTCATATGTTTTCTTTGGTCGAAATATGTCATATGTTTTTTTTGGTCGAAATATGTCATATGGTTTATCGAACAAAAACAGAGTTATAAGACTTTCATGAAACTGTACAGAACCGTATGTGTAAGTGTAAGTTAGGTATTGTTTTGCAAGAAATTCAGCCAAACCATAGTCGGTCCAACCTATAATTACTCTCAACGATATGACTAGAAATCAGCCTACCCTGAAAATGGTTTCGTCGATCCAACATGTTATTTTTTTATGATAAGATTTTGTCGGATATGAGCCATGAGTCAAAATATCGAAAATGCGTGTTCGGAATAATATTTTGTATCGAAAATAAAATAAGATGTTGTGTTAATAAGAAAAGAAACGCATACACCAATTTATTAATACATCATCGTAAATTTATTAGTCCCTGACAATTATAGAATAGTCATATGTTTTACAAGATGATAAATCGAACCATTCAAGCTAGAATTTTTGTTTTTCTTTGTCACGGTGTCGAAGCTTTGTAGACTTCATTTACGAAATTGATATTTGCAATCCCCATAGCCTGAAAATAGGAGAAAAATAATAAATTATTGATCCGGGATTAACAGAAGAAAGTTACATGATTGTTTAGAGAGAAAAAGAAACTCACTAGGATCAATTACGGTAATGAGACCAGAGCCTTCAAATTGGCAATTCCAAAAGTGTCTTCCTTGAGCTTGGTAATAAAGATTCATGGCGACAGAAGCGTGATTAAGGGGAGTGTTCGGATTAAAACATGGACCTCCTTCCATTATAATTTGACAATCGATTTTAGAACATGCGAAATCTATGTTTTGTAAAAGCTTTGCATTATCCGTAGTAGGGTTTGCCACACACCAATCTCCCTGGCTCTGCATGCAATAAAGAGAACATTCAAATAGCATAAAAATATATGAGATTGATTTTTGATTAGATTTTAACATTTCTTTTCACTTATGAGTAATTATAATCATGTACCTGTGCGCTGACTCTCATCAAATTTTCTTCTGTAACATAGAAATAAATCTGAAATTGTTATGAAACTTACAAACCTTACAATACAACTTTCAAATGATATAAGCTCACATATATATATATATATCAGTGCAGTCGATATATATATATAAGTAATTTCGATCGGTCAATTATATAAATCTGATGATTACTTGTGATTAGATTACCTGATGAAAGATGTAAGAAAATGATGAAACAAAGATATATGTGTGCTTTAGGCATGTTTGATTTTGATTGACGTCTGAAAACTCTTCTATTCTTTGCTTGGCTATATGTACGTCCCCTATATATACACTAAAATTAACCTAAACACACAGAGAGAGATGGTTACCGAAAAAAGCGATTTAAATAATATATAAATTTAAAAGGTAAACTATCTTCTTCTTTTTTTTGTCGAAAAAGGTAAACTATCTATTGTAAACTTCTAATACTTTTGTTTAAAAACTCTACGAATTTTTGAACAACACATGTCCGGATCTCGGTGATATAAATAAAGCGTGGGCAAACGCATTTCACCATATCGTATTTTTAGTTTGTTTTAGACTTTTAGTCCGTTCAGTAAAATTTAAAAGTTCTATTTTCTAATATCCCCAAAGTATCAGTAAATGATAAATGCTAAATACAGATAACTTTAAATTAATGACTCCGAGATTTTATGCTGATAACTATAAAATCCATAAACTTAATCAGACACCTTACAAAAATAAAATAAAATAAAAGTGAAAAGCTAAAATAAATTATCTTTAGTTTCCTTGAAGGGTTAGCAAGTTTAAACAAAAAAATACAAATGTAAGACGATCAATTAAAACAAAAATCAAAAATCAAAATTTGCAAAGCAATGATTCGTTCGAGTATTGAAGAAGAGTGAAATGCAAAATAGAAGAGTAAAATACAACAACAGAAAAAAGAAGAAAGGAAAAAATAAAGGTGGCGACATAGGAAATGGAGGCTAGTTCTTGATCCGTATGCTCCGGCTTATGTTGGGATTGATACCGGAACCTTCTCCTCCATATGATGCACCCAAAGGTTTCCTGATGTCTCTGACTTGTCCTTTGCGGTCGATGACTTTCTTCCTGTGCTTTACCTGCAAACAGAATCAAGGTCCCAAAACATTCGAGTTAACGCGAATAAACAAGGTAATAAGGAAACGACAGACAGAAACTGGCTTTTTTTGTAAGATTGTTTACCCGGTACTTCTTTCTTGGGTTTTTTAGGTCCTTGTTGCGATGTCGAGTCAATCCTCTGTTCGAATAAATCTGCAATTAATTGGAGATTAAAAAACAAGAAGAGGGAAGTTAGAGAAGCTTGCATGGTTAGAAAAAAGAAGAAGATGGTGTTGTGTGTTTTGAAAACAATGTAACCTCATTTGAAATCAGTCGTTTTCCATCTACACTTTCTGGTAATGACGTAGGCAATGATGGTTTCCTGAAACAACACCAATCGTGCCAATGAGATCAACACATGTTATATTATCACAAGTGAAGGTCTTCAAAAAAAGAATGGTTAATGTAGTGGATAATAACCTTGAATAGATCTCTGCTTTGGCAGCTCGTTTAGCTTGTTGTTTCTGTTTCACTTGTTTATAAAATTCATCTTCTGAGCCTTCTGATCCGTCATCATTATCAACCATGTCAATATCATCATCATCATCGTCATCTGTTGCAAATGCCCCACTTTCATTTCTGCCATCTTCCTCTGACTTCACACCAGCTCCAGCCAAAACTTTGAGCTCAAACTTTCTACGTCGTTCTCCGATATCATCTCTTTGCGGTAAATCATCATCTCCAGAAACAGTCTTCAAAAACATGAAGTGAAAAGACTTAACAAAAGAATGGGGGGAAAAAGTGACAAAGAAATGTCTACGTTTCACATCAGCTATATGTTACCTTGAACTTCCGTTTGGTGGACACAAGCTTTGTGAGCTTATCAGCTGGTACATCAGTGTGCTATTTTCTGCATCATCCACATAATCATCGAATGTCTCTAGCTTCCTGGTTACACCCAGGATTGAAAATTATTAATACACCACAATATTCAGAAAGGGACAACATAGACCATCAAGGTAAACGAGTAAGAAGAAAATAACAGAAGAAATTACCTATTAGCTAATTTCTGACGTTTTTGAGCCTTATCAGACTTCGAAGAAGTAGAACCAAAAACTCCATTGCTTCTTAGCTTTCCCTCTAGAGCAGCTCGAAGTTTCAACATTTCTTCACTTTGCACATTAACTTGATCACTCTGCTACAAAGAAAGCAGATTTGTTCAAGTTAAACAAAACAGCAACGGTGATAACAAAACATAGGGAAATGTGACAGTAAGCAAGAGCTTTGATGAGTTCAATAGAAAAATCAGGAAATGCTCAGATCTTTCTTCACCTGGTGCTTGCGTTTCTCTCCTTTTTTCTTCTTGTCTTCTCTCACTTTGTCGATTTTCACCGGCTGAATAAACGGAGATCAGCAAGTGGATACAAAGAAAGTGTCAAACATAAGAAACAAACTCAAGTGACAGCGAGTAATATCCAACTTCTACCTCGACTGTGTCTTGTGTGATTCCATCTACCGGAGAAGAAACAGGTGAAGAGAGCGCATCGTCCTTGACCACCTTTTGCACTGTTCCATTAGCAATACTTTTCGCTAGAGACTCCTCAAATCCAGTGGGAAGCTCTCCATCAAGTTCTTTGATCTAATTATATACAGAGTAATACATTAATTAAGGTGCAATGATAAATTAACAAACGTTGCTTGTATAGTCATTCAACATGTAAATAGCATTTCTGGAGATACAAAAAAACTTAAAATGGTACTACAGAACCTTATCCAACAAAGCTTTGATGTCTACAAGACGGGCAAGGACCGGATGATCACGGATGGGCTGCCCTTCAGACTTGAGTAGAAAATAAAACGTTATAGATTGGCAATAGGCCAGTAGCAGAAGCTGCTTAACCTCCAAGTACCTAGTTCCACCATTCAAGGGAATTCCTCCTTCCTTTAACTGCAAGGAGACATAATTGCATAAAGTTTCTGGAGGAGCCACAGTGACTTCTTTCGAATTGCAGAATATAAAATGGCAATACAGAAATCTAAAGAAAAATCGTGGAACAGTAAAGAGGTTTTACCTTACTCATAACAGGATTTATCTTAGTCTCAAGCTCTTCGACCGCATCATTTAACTCAGATAAAAGACCAACTATTTCCGGAGCAGAACTACAGGAAAGACATAATCACGTAAATATTATTGTACATATATGTAATACGGATATATTTAAACAAATGGAAATTTTTGAGCAGAAGCCATCAACTTTACCTATATACTACATCCATTTGCTCTTCTTTTGACAAAGAGTTTATGTCTTTCTTGATCTCTTCAACATGTGTTTCTTTGTCATCCTTTCCTATCTTATCTGTGATGGATTTTGTAGCCTGCTTGCCTCTAACAGAAATTTCCTGCCAAATATAACAAGTATGATGCGTCAATTATCTAAGAAACAGGATACCAACGACACGATGGTTCTTCGTAACACGCATAACCCACCTCCATGGTTAATTCTCGGTCACTCTCTTCACTATCATCTTCTAACCCAGCATCAGCTGCCGTAATGGATCCTACTTGCGCTGCCCGTAGTCTTTTCACCTCCTCTTCTTCTGCTTTAAGGTCCTCATCATCATCACTTGATTGGAGCTTTAAAATCACATCAAACCAAATTAACAACGTATGTCAAGTTTGTTTCAGAGAGAACATAAAATATACAAAAAGGAATCAAGCTTTTTAAAGAATAGGAATCGAGGCAAAGTTGCAGATGTAAAACAACAACAAAACTCAATACCTCAAAATCTACATTATCACCATTATAGTATTGGTCCTTTCGTCGAGGTCCACCCCATGTGCTTTTGTCTTCCTCATCTTTCTCCTTATCATCATCATCAGCCATTTCATCATCACCATCACCAAACTTAGCCCGCAGATATTTCTTTTGCCTTATCACTGCACAATTATTAAGGCACCAATGACAGAATGATTAGCACACTCAGAAAAGGATTAATTTTAGGCATTCTGTCTTCGATAGGAATAGAATAAGAAGGCATCCTTACTTTTCGCAGTAAGTCCATTTTCGGATTCCTCTTCGTCTTCTGTATCTTCATCCTCCTCATCCTCATCTTCATCATCCACACCCTATAAGCCAAAGTGACCAAAAAATAAAAGTAAAGCATTGTAGGGAATTGGACAGAAGAGTTTCAAAAGGAAAATCTTTATCTAAAACACAAACCAATTAACAAACCTTTAAATCAAAAACAGGTTGCACATCATCTTCATCTGATTCATCAGTATCATCGTTAACATCCAATGGAACAATATCCCTCTGTTTATGAACTGCGGAGACAAACCAATCATCGAAAATTTCATCAAAACCAAATACATAAAAACCCAAAACACTGAAAAATCTCTAACAAATAAGCAACCAATCACACACATCTCTCAAATTCGCATAATTTTTCACTACCCATCAAACTCGTATACCGAGCAGAAATAGAGCTACTAAGCACCAAACAATGTCGACCTAGTCATTCCGATAATCGATTAAGCATTAGGAAAAAAAAAGACAATTTTTTTTTCACATGGGCAGAAATTTACAGGCGTCAATCTCGTCATCGTATTGGTCTTCGAGGATATCTTTGCGAGTTTTTGTACTTTTGCTTCCTCTCTTCTGGCTCCCTCCTTTTTTCCCCATCGTTGAGCTTCAGGGCAGGTTCTGAGCACGTGCAAACTGTGCGACTGCTCGGAAAGTAGGGTCTTCGACGCAGCAATCAGATCCCGACCAATCTACTGTAGGTAACGGGAGCAATTAGGATTCTCAATGATAAGAAAATCGAAGAAGAAAGTCGAAGAATTTGCAGAGAGAGAGAGAGAGAGCAACGATAAACCTGACTAGGGTTTTACGAACGATGGGCTTACTAAGGCCCATTATTTTGGATATAAAGCCCAACTTTAAATCAGTCCTTTCGTCTCTTACTTGCGACGACCTCTTATTAGTTATTACTTATTACCGAATAATTTCCTCCGGCCGGTGGGTTTTCGGAGCAGATCATCAGTTTCTAGTCTCTGGTCAGTTAATTTTTTTTTGGTTATTTAACGATTTTTGATTCTTATGTCTCGTGGATTTTGAGCTCATCAAACATGGTTCTTGTTCTGGATCAATCCGATTTTGCGTTCTGAGTTATTACAAATTGACTCAATTCTATCATGCGCTTGTGTTGTTGATTTTCGTGTAGATTTGTTCAGAATCTATGATGATCTAGGGTTTTTATAATCGGAATTTAATCGTTTTTCTAGCGTAGAATCGATCAGAATCCGAGTTGTTCCGAGCAATTGTTTCAGTTGTGCTTATAATCAAGTTGCGAATTCGATTGATGTTGGCAAAGTCAATTCCAACAGATCTCACTTTTCCCTTCGTTTGCATTGTGGTTATGTTTATTTTTCACAGCATCCGAGAGAGAAGAAGTCTTTTCAGTGATTAAGGATCTGCAATAAGTATCCATCTGAGATTTAACAATGGTAATTCTCGATCCATCCAGCATTATCGTAGTAGCTATATGATACTTTACAGAATATGAGGAATTGTAAACAAGGTGTTCTACGGTTAGGTGCTAAGATTATTGTGGGAATTGTTAATTCTTCGTTTGGTTTTTGCTGGGAATTGATTCCGCATTGACACTAGAGTATAGTTTTTCAATGATTAATGGAGGAAAAAACTATTGTTCCCACTTGCATTTGCTTTGGTTTTGGCTGATCATACTCTCATCTTGTTTGGTTTTTCAGGTTCTATTACAGTTGGACCCATTCCTCAATGAACTCACGAGCATGTTCGAGAAAAGCAAAGAGAAGGGTTCTGTGTGGGTTACTTTGAAAAGATGTAAGTTTGGCTTTTCTACTTGACAATCTCATCTGGACCTTCCTCCAATTTTGTTATCTGGTTATAGTTGAGTTATATTTTCGAAGCTATCTTATATGATTTTATATTACTTGTGTCAGCGACTTTGAAGTCTAAGCTGCAGAAGAGGAAACAGAGCTCATCTGGAGAATCCATGGAATACAGATGCCTTATTCGAGCAACTGATGCAAAGAAAACGATTTCCACATCGGTATGTTCTACACATGATCTTAAGATTGCATTCTAGAACCATGTTTGTTTCCAAACGTTTAAGTAGGCATGAGTAAACCATCATATCCATTAGCCGAAAGATTGTCCCTTAGCTCTCGACTCAATTCTTCCTTAAACCATTATAATTGGCATCTGGCATCTGGGAAGACAGGTCGTTCAATGAAACATCAAAATCATCATCCCTCAAGCCTTTATGAGTCGATACCGGGGATAAGGATGTGAATACTGGTCTATAATCTCTAAGTTTACACTGAAGAGCTAACTTGTTGCAATGCTTTCTTGTTTTAGGTTGGCGCTAAGGATCACCAGAGATTTCAAGCATCATATGCTACCATTCTTAAGGCCCACATGACTGCTTTGAAGAAGAGGGAGAGGAAAGACCGGAAGAAGTCCACAGAGGCAGAGAAGAAAGAAGGCACTTCAACCACTAAAACCAAGAAGCTTTGATTTTTCCTTTCGTGTGTTCTCATTGATTTGCAATTGTTGCGTAGAAATTACAATTTTGAAAGATATTGAAAGATTTAAGAGATTTTGATTTATGTTATGATAGATTTTGGCTTGCGTTTTATTTGATTTCCATCGTGAGAATAAAATGATCATGTAATGTATAAAACTAAGCGCAAAGATTGACTAAATTCAAGAACTTGATTCTTGATTACAGAGCAGAAGCTGAACCTATGAAAAACCTCAATTGTTATTGTGAATCACATCCAGTTCCTAACAAAGGTGAAGCTGCCACGGGATTTAATCTAACTGTTCATCAGAGTTTGAGTCCACATAAGCCCTGAGGACACTTTTGTACTTGTCGGGGCTGTCATACCAGGTCGGCGTGTTGATGATCGCCTTTTCTAGCCAGTACTCATCGTAAACTCTTTGCCTCGACATCTTCTGCATGAATCCATTCCAACCATCAAAGGCCTTGGTCAATCGAGCAGTCTTAGGTTTCCCCATCAGAAACCTAATGTAATCCCTTGCAAGCTTGACCAATTCCTCCCCAGTAATGATGTAGGTGTACTGCGGAAAAAAAACAAAAGGAACATTCAATCAGAGCAAGATACGATAATGTTTCAAATCTGTTTAAAAAGTTGTGTCTTTACCAGCAAGATGAAGCCTAAGGTTGCTAATACCACTTGCAGAGTTTCATCTGCAATCCCAGCAAAACCACCGTCTTCTCCTCCCGAGCCTTCAGAACGCTCTCCACCGTTTCCACCACCGCCTCCTCCGCCACGTGGAGGAGTGTTGCCGCCACTGTCTGTATCATAAAAGTCTTTCTTTTGTATCTGCTCACGCAACATATCTTCAACCGATTTCTTCCCCATAGCTTTCTCTATCGCTTTCCATGGTGATATCTGACGACAAAATTCATTACAACAACCATTGGAAACGAGATTCAAAAGACATTTCAACTTAATATCAGAAAACGAAACAGCAGAGTTCTGACCCTAAGTTCTTGGAGACATACACAAAAGATATCACTCTCTGGTTAAAAAGTAAAATAATTTACACACAGGAGAACTTAAAACGAGGGAAAGCATCTGACCTCGTCACCACCATTAGACTTATCCTTCCCACCAAATAAGCACACAGCAGAACTTTGCTTCCATTTCCCATTAGGTGCACGACGCCGGTGATTTAACAGAGGCGAAAACTGAGTAGACGTTGACGCAGTTGCTCGGAGAGTAAATGACGCACGAGGGCAATAATTAAAGCGTAAAGACGACCTATTAGGTACACTGGAGACACAATTCGGTCGACTTATTCTTGCAGGACAGTAGGATGGTCGAAAACAATTAGCCTGAGTAAAGCTCATCTTTTTCCCAATGCTTATCTTAGTGCATAAACTTTCGGATCTTAACTGCAAAAAAAATCAACAGGAAAAAACGAAGATTTATAATGAGAAGGCCCAGAAGAAGTTCTTCATGAAATGATCAGAATTTAGAGCATACCAAAGACGCTATTCCAAACAAAACAAAGGGATAATTATATCGCGTTCATGTAACGATAAGCAATAGTAGTTACCAAAAGTCAGGAACTTCTAGTCAATTGAATAGAAAGGAACAGGTTCGGCGATCATAAGGTAAGAACAATGAGAAGCTCGCTACAAACCAGAAATCATAGAAAAAAGGAGAGTCAGAGACCATAATCGTACCTTGTTGAAGCCTTGAAGGGACAGAGAATTCGAAACCCTAGTTTTTCCTTCGAGGAAAAGGATTCGATTTTTCCCCCTTTGCGTCCAAAATAAAACGACGGAGAAGCTGAGCTGTGAGAGAGAACGGAGAAGCGATCGCTAAGTTTATCTATCCTCAAAGAGGTCCCTAACGGTGTCGTTTCACTTGAGCCTCTCGATGGTTCTAGCCTCTTTCTAGACCGGGTTGGTAGACTGATTCGGTTAGCTTGGTTTGATACCCATGCATGACTGCTTGCAATTGCAATCGATTGTGTTCGGTTAGGTTAATATTGGGAGTTTTTTTTCTACATTTTATCTTAACATATGGTAATATTCAATTTTCTTACATTTCTAAATGCATTATTTGATTAGCTAAACATCGAATAGCATTATTTTTTTCTTTTGACCCCTAATAGCGTTCGAGAGATATCCATCTTCGTTGTATTTTTCTTCTAACCAGCGATAACGCTAATTATTTAATAAAGAAAACCTCAGAATTTTGCATTTATCCAAACTTGTTTATCTATATCAAGTTGTTTTCTTTAAAAAAATATTTTAATCATATCAACTTGATTATTTAATCGAATTCATGACCGACATGGATTCTCGTAACGACAAGAAAGAATGGATCATTGACTTATTATTTTGTGGTACAAAGGGCCATTGACTTGGACTAATTAGAAGCCAATCAATAATCGAGAAACACCTAAACTTGATCAAAATATCATTTAAATAGACACAATCTTTACACTATAAATACATCCACAACCACATTGATTTCTTCACACAACAATCTCCTTCTCACTCACTCCACACAAAAAAGAAAAATGGCTACCCAAAGAGCGATCCTCAAAAACGCTCTCATCCTTTTTCTCTTCACGTTAACCATCGTGACAAAAACCGCGTTTTCACAAAACTGCGGTAGTACTGGATGTGCGGGCAACATGTGCTGCAGTAGATATGGATATTGTGGCACCACACCCGCCTACTGTGGCACCGGGTGCAGAAGCGGACCGTGCAGCTCCGGAACCACACCAATCACACCAACTCCTAGCGGTGGCACGGGCGGCCTAAACGCTGATCCTCGTGATACAATCGCAAACGTTGTCACACCATCATTTTTTGATGGTATCATGAGCAAAGTCGGAAACGGCTGCCCAGCAAAAGGGTTCTACACTCGCCAGGCTTTCATTGCGGCAGCCCAATCGTTCCCGGCCTATCAAGGAACTGTCTCTAAGCGTGAAATTGCCGCCATGTTGGCTCAGTTCTCACACGAATCTGGAAGTAAGTGTTCACCATAAACCACCCTTCTAGATAGTTATACCACCTAAGTTGCACGCATTATTTGTTTGGTAAATAGTATTCTCGAGACAAGAACTCCTAGTTTTACTATTTTTGGCATATATTATTTATTTAACAAATTGTTGGGGACATGTCTTGAAATAAAAACCGGATATTTTGTAAAGGTTTTTGTTACAAAGAAGAAATAGCGAGAGGAAAGTACTGCCAAGCTAGCACAGTCTACCCTTGTCAACCAGGAAAGGACTATTATGGTCGCGGTCCAATCCAAATCACATGGAACTACAACTACGGTGCAGCCGGAAAGTTCCTTGAACTCCCTCTCTTGACTGATCCAGATATGGTGGCTCGTAGCCCTGAAGTGGCCTTTAAGTGTGCCATGTGGTTCTGGAACCAGAATGTTCGTCCGGTCTTGGACCAAGGCTTTGGAGCAACCACGAGGAAGATCAATGGTGGCGAATGCAACGGTCGGCGTCCAGCAGCGGTGCAAAGCAGAGTTAACCGCTACTTGGAGTTCTGTAGGATGTTTGGGATCACTCCTGGAACAAGTCTAAGTTGTTAAAGATGTTAAATGTGGTTAGTATCATGGAATGAAGTTGGTCTTGCACGTACGTGTGAGTCAATAAGTAATTGAACGTGTCGAATAAAAGATTAATTACGAGGTGTATCCTGATGTATCCCTGTAATGTTTGTATCGGTTGTCACAAGTTGAAGTATATCACCTTATCCATATAAACGCATTTACTACATTTTTCACCTTTTTAATGATTACTGCAAAAATTTAAATTTTACAGAGGATTGTTTGTTTTTTGGTCTGAAAACAAAATAAGTTGAAAGCAAAGCGAAATTCTATAAGAGTGATACATAATGAATACAAAGTATGAACAATTGGGAAATTTTAGAGAAGATGTATTGTAGGTGAAAGTTGAATAAAAAGTGTGAACAAACGGTAAACCACGCTTAATATCTTTCTAATATAATCTAGATTAGATCCCATTTCACTTCAAATCTGAGATTCCTAACAAAAACAAAATTCTCGCAAAATATGCATGTAATGATTTTCACACTTGACATGGAAGAATAATTTGTAAATTTTTCAGTAACACGGACCGAGAGGCCTAAAGAAATGGATGCATTTTCGAATCAAAAAAGATATTGACAGACAATAAAAGAAAACGATTTGTTTTTCAATGCTATCCGGATTACGGATAGACGCCTGCAGTACTTGAGGCTTGAACTAGGGAAAATATCTTAAAATATACGAAATAGTTACAGAAAAGATGGGTCCACATACACACGTAAAATGAGCGTCGACTTACACATGAGAGGTTTCGCACGTATACGCATCATAATCGACATCGAGAGGGCCTCTTTCCCTGACTTCTTATTTGTCTTGTTCGCTGAAGAACCTTTTTAGTAGTCAGACTCTGACTCTCTGTGGAAGATGATTTTCAAATCTATGAAATTTTTCCTTGTGCTGACAATTTAAAAAACAATGTTTGAGTTGAACTGTTAACAATATTATTTTAATGGAATTGTAAAGTATTACCACTAGTTAAATTTTCAACAATTGCACAATTAGATGATCAAAAACCTGTTTTAATGCTTTTTAGGATATATCTCTTTTATTTTTTCGATATATAAAAAATAACTATTTTACATTATCAAATCTACAATAAATGTACGTATGGTTAAACAGAAATCTATATTGAATATGATGTGATTTAATTTAAATCATTTATTGATTTCATTTGATTTTTGGGTCGACTTAATAACGTAGATTATAAAAGTACAGACTACACAATTTTAATTACATTTAAAAAGAAAAAGATAAACCAAAACTAGGAAAATATACAACGTATGATGAGTTTACTTAGTTTATCACATTTGTAAAGATGACGTGAACTAGGTTATGTCGGTTAATAGAACTTTTTAGTTCGAGTGACTTGGGATTGATAAGATACGTGACTCGTACACTAGAGTAAATGTGTTCTTTTGATGCTCAAAAATCCTTGTTTTCATGTATTCACTTTCATGCATGACTGTGATTTGTGACTAAGTAACAATACTCATATATTGTATATACATCAAAACCTATATACAAACTCGGAATATCATAAAACATCAATCCTTTTTTCTTGGTTTCATTTGAAATAATATGCCATCTTGCAATAATATCAACATTTCTGATTCACACTCCAGCATCATTAAACACCTTGGCTACGCAATCTTCTACGGCTGTGGTTTGAAAGAAGACGAAGAAAACTGTTTTAGTCCCTTTTATATTCAATTCACTTTCTTTCAGATTTCACTTCCAATAAATGTAAACGAAAATTGTTTAACAATCAATTCAAAATAAAAAACGATACCATTCACTGGGTGACATATTAAAAAATTGGTGGCCATAAAATAAGTAAATTATAGATCAGATCACTCTAGATCAAATCCGAAATTAAGTATAGTATTACGATTATGAAGATATTATTTTGTGATATTATGCTTTTTTTTGTTGGAAAAAAAAAAGCACATGACTGTCAAAAGAAATAGTAATAAGTTACGTCTCGACCAATTAACACAAAAAAAAAAATCCCTCATGTGAGCATGTGACTTGCTTGAGTTGACTTTGAGTGGATAGGGCCACGTCAACGCATTCCATGGACCTCTTTGTTGTCGTGACTCGCGGAGTAAACTCCTTTAATTAACGTATATAGTCAACACAACTTTCGATTAATTAGAATTTCACTATTAATTAATTTTAAAATGTTAACTAACATTATCATTTTTCCATTATTATTCATTTGCATACCATTGCAAGTTCCTCGAAAGTTGAAAACCTATGTACGTGCTTATATTCCAATGGCATATTTGGCGTATATACTCCATTGGCTGCAATATGGATTCATGTACCTTAATTTTTAATAGATTTTATCACATAGTTTTGAAAAGAAAAATCGTATCACATACCTTGATTTTATAAGTGGACCGTAAGTAAGCAATATGTAAATATATATATATCCATATATCCAAATATATATATATCCATATATATATTATATATCATATTATAAAAACAATTTAAAAATGTTGAACTGAACGATCTCCGCTCTACATAGTTTTCCAAGTCGTGGAGAAACCAGTCATAATTTTGTTAATAGTTCGATATTTAAAATTTGATCTTTAGTAGAGAATGTTTTCAAATTTTTGGGGTTCACATAAAACAATTATATAAATATGTGACGAATTCTTAAAATTAATTTGACTACTACATCTTATGGTTAAATTAAATTCTCAGCCGCATCAAGTTTTTGGACGATATCATATGAAGAAAAAGTCTTTTACCAAAAAGGCCAACGTTTTGGGCGATATCATTGATTAATAAGTTTTAAACTATTTAGATGAAGATTACACGATATTAAAATTATATTACATGGTTAAGTTCGTATACGGAGGACTCTCAAGCGATACTACAACCTGAAAGCAAAGCAACATATTACATATATATTAAATGTGATAATTTCATCGTCAAGCAACACGTTTATCTGTATTATATGTTAATGACGTACGATATACAATTTCTAGGTTTTTAAGATATGACCGATTTCTAGGTGAGTTATTCGATAGAAAAGACAAATACTCACATTTGAGTTTTTCGTTAAACGAATACGTACCGAACATTGGATCGAGCTAATCAGTTTAGTAGTATATGTAATCTACGCATGCAGCATGCATATATTTACTATTTTTGGTTGTCTCCTTGGTTAGACGCATCGAGATGTATAACAAAATTTTCAATGTTATAAGATTTTTAATCGCTTTACTACGATGTTGGTGAAATTGAACCGACCCAATCCCAAATTTTTTTATTTATAAAAAAAGAGTAACCTGAGAACGATATATAAAATTCGTTTTTGTCTTTTATTCTAATTCAGCTGAACGTGATGACCAAGTCCAAATTCAAATGATCATTGGATATATGATCACAACTACAAGAAAAGGAATGAGTCATGACTTATTTATAAAACATTTTTAAAATTAACCAAACATAATTTAATACTGCCAAAATTACACTATAAATATCTCCACAAACCCTCCTCATTTATTCACACTACTCTCTCCCTTCAAAACAGTCTACCAAAGAAATAAAAAAATGGCGACACAAAATGCGCTTCTGAAGAACGCTCTCATCATTTTCCTCTTCACTTTAACCATTATGACAGAAACAGCGTTTTCACAAAACTGCGGTAAAAACGGATGTAAAGGCAACATGTGCTGCAGCAGGTGGGGATATTGTGGAACCACAAACGCCTACTGCGGCACAGGGTGCCAGAGTGGACCATGCAAATCCAAACCTAAACCTACTCCGACTCCTAGCGGTAGCGGCGGTCTAAACGCTGGTCCTCGTGGTACCATAGCTAGCGTGGTCACACCAGCGTTCTTCAACAGCATCATGAGTAAAGTTGGAAGTCGTTGCCCAGCTAAAGGGTTCTATACTCGCCAAGCTTTCATCGCTGCCGCTCAGTCTTTTGCAGCCTACAAAGGAACCGTTGCTAAGCGTGAGATTGCCGCCATGTTGGCTCAGTTCTCTCACGAATCCGGAAGTAAGTTCATCACCGGTTACTCGTATCAATTTATTTCTTTATTATCAAGTTTATGATTAGAACATTAATTACTTAAAAATATCAAAAATTTCACGCATATATATGTAATATAGCTTAATTTGGTTTATGCGTTTGTATTAGCTAAGCTTTGTTGCAAAAAAAATCGATAATATTTCTATAAACTTTTAACTGGGATTTTATCTTCTATTATTTTGATTACAGTGGTTATCCATTTCATGTTTTGAAACTACGAATGTCAGTTGT